TGCTGCTGCTGCTGCTGCTGCTGCTCCGTTTCGCGTGGAAGGCGGCGGCTGCAGGCTGGCCAAGAGCAGCAGCAGCTGCTGCGAAGACGCATTCTTCTGCTTGGAGAAAGAAGGCTGCTTCGGAGTGTTTGACGGAGTCGGCAGCTGGGCTGTTGAAGGAGTAGATGCTTCTCGTTTCTCGGAAGGCCTTGCTGCTGCTGCTGCAGCAGAAGCAGCAGCAAACCTGAACCCCGACAACATTGCCCCCGAGTACCGCGCGCTGGACCCCAACGCGCGGGCGCGGCTGCTGCTGCACCGAGCCCATGCTGCTGTCTGCAGCAGCAGCGAGAACAGGTGGGGCAGCAGCACAGCAGCAGTGGGGTGTATAGACACCCGGACGGGCCGCCTCGGAGTTGCATGTCTTGGCGACTCCGTGCTGATGGTGCTGCGGCGGCAGCTGCTGCCGAGCAGCATGTCTTTTTATGCTGCAGAAGTTCCTGCGGTGCGGCCGGAGGCGCTGCTGCTGTCGAGCAGCAGCAGCAGCAGCAGCAGCAGCAGCCGCTTCCCGCGGCTGCTGCGGCGCTGCTGCTGGCGCACCAAGGAGCAGCGCTGGGAGAACGGCGCCCCCTACCAGCTGTGCAACCTGCCGCCCCGCAGCAGCTGGCAGCAGCTGCAGCAGCAAGGCTTCGAGCGCTTTGTTGCAGTGCTGCAGAAGATCGACCCCCAGGGCGACACAGCAGAAATGGCCTTCGCCCCGCAGCAGCCGCTGCTGCTGCAGCCTGGTGACCTCGTGCTGGCCTTCAGCGACGGAGTCGGCGACAACTTGTTCGACAGGGAAATCGAAGTCTTCTGCTCCCTCGCCCTCTCCCCCGACGAGGCCCTGCTGCTGCAGCAGCAGCAGCAGCAGCAGGGGAAGGAACAGCACGCCCAGCAGCAGCAGCAGCAGGGGAAGGAACAGCACGCCCAGCAGCAGCAGCAGCAGGGGAAGGAACAGCACGCCCAGCAGCAGCAGCAGCAGGGGAAGGAACAGCACGCCCAGCAGCAGCAGCAGCAGCAGCAGGACGCTGAACGGCCCTCTATTCGCTTCACGCCTGCACAGGACGTGGCGGAGTTTATTGTGAAGATTGCAAAAAAGAAATCTCAAGATGGCGTAAGCTGCTGCTCCGCTTTTGCTGCTGCTCCACTTTTGCTGCTGCTCGTGTCTGTTGGTCTGCTGCTTGCTGCATTGCATTTGCCTGGCCCTCTACACCCGCAGCGAAACTCATCCATCTCCGCCGCTGCCGCTGCTGCCGTTGCTGCTGCTGCTGCTGCTGCACGCGTATGTGTGTTTGCTGCTTGGGTTTGCTGCAGCTGTTCGAACGCCCGTTTGTTGCAGCACCTGAAGGCAGCAAGCCGCTGCCCGCCCATTTAGCAGCAGCAGAAGGAGAGGGATTTCGAGGGGGCAAAAGAGATGACATTAGCTGCGTGGCACTGTGGGTCACAGCTGCAGTGCAGACACCGATGCCTGCTGCTGCTGCTGCTGCTGCTGCTGCAGGCGTACAGACTGCAGCAGCAGCTGCACCGCTTCCCGCTGCAGCAGCAGCTGCAGAAGCAGCTGACTCCGTCGCGTTGACTGTGGAAGCTTCCACCCAGGGGGAGGAGGTTTCTGCTGGAGCAGCACAAGAAGAGCAGCCTGCAGCAGCAGCAGCAGCCTCTGCTGCTGCTGCTGCGTCGCCAGCTGCAGGTGGTCAAGGTGCCCGAGCACTCACGCCTTCACCCGCAGCCGAAGCCGCAGCAGCAGCGGCATCCGCTGCTGCTGCTGCTGCTGCTGCTAAGTCACGCAAAGCAGCAGCAGCTGCAAGTGTCGGTACACCCAAGCTGCTGCACCGGTTCTCGCGTGCTGCTCGGCTGAGCCCCAGCAGCAGCCGCTTAGCAACCCCTGGGGCTTCCCCTTCAAGCTCAGTCTCTGCAGCAGCAGCCCCAGGAACTCCAGGGACCCCCACATCAGCAGCAGCAGCAGCAGCAGCAGGGGATTCCTCGCGGAGGCGCGCGCTAGCCAAAGGGGCAGCAACCCCACACACTCCCTCCCGCAGCACAGACCGCCTAAACCCTTCGGGGGTTTTGCGCAGAAGATTCTGCAGAGACGCTGCAAGTCCTGCTTCCCCCACCAGCACCCCGCGGAAGCCTCTTGCTGCTGCTGCTGCAGCAGCAGCAGCAGCAGGAGCAGCAGCAGCAGGAGCAGCAGCGAGTCCTGCTGCTGCTGCTGGCTCGCCCGCGTCGCCCAGCCACGGGAGCGCTAGCCGACTACCCCGACCAGACTTTGCTGCTTTTGCTGTTCTCCGCGCTGCTGCTGCAGCTGTCAAGACCCGCAGGGGGGGCCCGCCGGGGGGCCCCCCGGGGGGCCTCCCTGAAGGCTCCCCAGGGAGGGGCCCCCCAGTACCCTCTGCCTCCCCTAAGCGATCAGGGGGGCCCCTGGGGCCCCCCTGGAGGCCCCCCAAGACCCTCCGCCGTGCTGCTTCCCCGGGGCCCCTCTTTTCGGACACTCCAAAGAAGCCCTTGAGGCGGCCGGGGCCCCCCAGTGGGGCCCCTGAAGAGGGAGGTGCGGCAGCAGCTCCCGCAGCAGCTGCAGCGACTGCAGCAGCTGCAGCAGCTGCTGCAGCGGAGGGGAAAGGCGCCGCCACACAGTCTGCGGGGGCCCCTGCTGCTGCTGCTGAGGCTGCAGCGGAAGCAGCGCAGCAAGGGCCTGCTGCTGCAGCAACAACGCCAAGGAGGCAGAAGCAAGCAGCAGGAGTGGACACAGAAGCAGGACAAGGGAAGCAAGGGGAGAGCAGCAACAGCAGCAGCAGCAGCAGCAACCCACAGAAAAAAGAGGCAGTAACAGAAAACGAACAAAGCAGCAAATGCAGCAAAATGCAGCAAACAAATGGCGAACAGCCGGACGCAGCAGTCAAGCAGTCAAGGGGCTCCCACACTGGCCTCCAGAAGCAGCAGCAGCAGCAGCCGCAGCAGCAGCAAAGGCAGCAACAGCAGCAGCAGCACGAGCAGCAGCAGCAGCAGCCAGATGGCTCTGCTTGTCCGGGAACTCAGCGCCGCTCCCGCCGTCTCAGCGGCCGCAGCCTCGAAAGGGCGCCGTTAGCTGCAGCCCCGAGGCGCAGCAGCAGCAGCAGCGCTGGCGTTAGCTGCTCTGTTGCAGCAAAATCAGCAGCAGCAGCACGAGCAGCGAAACGCACGAAACATGCAGAGCAGCAGCAGTAGCAGCAGCACAAACGCAAAACCGAAAGCTCGCACAACAGCACAGCAGCTGAGCAGCAGCACAGCCACAGGCATGCCCCACAGTGAACTTAAGCTTGTAATAGCTACTAAGAGAGCAGCAGCTGCTGCTGCTGTGGCTGTTGCTGCTGCTGAAGCAGCAGCTGCTTCTGGCAGCTGAGCGAGGCTAGTGCGCCAGAGAGCGGCGTAGGTATTCGTGGTGTTTGCATTTTTGTTCGTTTTGTTTTTATTTATCACTGCAGGCTCGTTGAGGTGTACGTACACCTCGGCTGGCAGAAATTTATTTTGGAAGACGCGTTTGCGTGTCCTTCCTTGTTTTTGTCTGGCGGATTCTCGCGCCTCCAGTTGTCTCATTAGCATTTAATATTATCTGTTTCCACAATGGTGAAGTTCTCCTTCTATGGGTTGAAGTTGAATTCCTCTGGGGTGCCTGCATGCAGACGTGTAGTCCAAACTTAGCCGAAACTGCAGTTCTCAATTCCAGATTTGTTCACTGGCCTTCAAAAGAGCTTCGAAGAACTCTGGTAGCCCCTAGAGGGCCCTTTAGAACTTTTAAAAAAGTAAAAATTGTCCAGAGAGACACTAAGAGGAACGGCTGCTGCTTCCTCACAGAGGCTAAATGCGTTTGCAACTGCTTCCTTGAAAATACCCTTTTAGATCTCCGGCAAATGTAGCCTTCGCAGCACTAAACTCTAATTGGGTTTCCGTGAAAGACAGGGTTTGCATGTTTGTTTGTTTCCTGTCTTTGAGTTCATGAATACTTTTGTTGTTCACGAGCAGTTCATAAAAAGGAAAGTGCAAAAGTACTTGCCACTTGGCGAGCCCGGCGAATAAGTTTATATCCGCCTCTTCGGCCAGTTTTTTCTAATTAATTGGAATTTATTATTTGGCATTTGGGTCTTCGTTCAGCTGTTGACGCACAAAGTCCCAAAGAATCCGATTCACCTCCAATGGCTGCTCCAGCATAACGCTGTGGCCGGCGCGGCCCACGACGGCCACCGTGAGTGCGCCCTGTTTGCCCCACAGCTCGGGGCTTGCATGCAAGCTGCTGCTGCTGCTGCTGCTGCTGCAGGCCGTGCTGCTGCTGCTGGCGCCGCCGGGCGTCTCAACGGCGCAGGCCGTGTACGGAAGTCGCAGGTAGCTGGGGCCAGGCAACGGAGTGCTGCTGATTGGTGCTGCACCCAAAGCCCTGGAAACAGCAGCAGCAGCAGGGTAAGCAGCACACACGGAGTCCTCTTCGCCGTAGAGCAGCAGCACGGGGGGCCGGGAGGAACTGTCGCGGTAAGCTGCTGCAGCTGCGAGCGCAACAAGCAAAGCCAAACAAATCTCTTTTTTGCTGCTCTTTAATCCGCATTTAACTCACAATATTTTATTTTTTTCGAAACAAACAAACTTCACAAAGTTTGTTTCCCTCACAGTCAAAAAACTTTCTCGAATAAACTCGAAAAAGAACACGCCAAACCATCCAGGACCACAAAGAGGCAAGCAAAAGCGAGGCACACACATTTACATGAAGGCAGAAACATAATAGAAAACAAAATAAAACAAATTCATCTGAAAAGACAAATAAACAACCAAATACAAAGAAAGAAAATCTGAAAGATACAGACACACACAAACAGCAGCATTCGCGAAACTGCATGCCTGATTACCTGCACCATGAAAAGAAACTGACTTCTCATTAACTTCACCATTTACTTTATTTTTTACTTAAACTTGACATTTATTATTAACTCTTTCATGCGCTGAGTCATCAAAAATGCCACTCTCTTGCCCTGTGGCCTACAGTTGCAGCTTTATCGGAGCTCCTCTTATCACTTGTGGTTCCATTTGTGTTGCTATTCCTTCTTATGTTTCCACTTGTCTATGTATAAATATAAACTGATATGTAAATATACAAGTATAAATTGTATATAAATATATACACAGATATACACCTGTAGAACTTAACTATATATAAAAATAATATGCAGCTACGTATATGCAGGAAAATGAAAACATAAGAATATATATGTATATATTTCTTCATATGTTTTAATATATATTTGAGTGTTTGTGGCTGATGAATTACCCTTGAGGAACTCCTTGCGGCGCTCCCCTCTTTTGAACCAGTTGAGAATGGGCAGAATGGAGTTGAGGGGGTTTTCTGCATTGATGAGTTTCTCGTGTTGAATTAATTGGGGGTTTTCTTTTCTAGTTTCTCTGCCGTAGAGGAGGCGCTGCGAGGGGAGGCTCAGCAGCCACCGCAGCAGCTGCAGCAGCAGCCGCGGCAGCTGCAGCAGCAGCCAACAAAAGCCCAAGTCCAACTTCACTCCTTCTCGCGCATCTCCTCCAATCAAACAAATGCCCTTCACTTCTCCCCCCCGGCCCTCCGCCACCAGCTGTCTGTACAGCTCAAGCACCAGCTCGCACCCGGAAGAATGCCCAACCAGCACAGCCCCCCAAGGGGCCCCCTGGGGCTTCTGGGGCCCCGGGGGCCCCTGGGGCCCCTGGGGCTTTTCTTCTTTGCTGCGGGTGCCCGCGAGGGAGTCAAAGGTGGCTTTGATGATGGCCTCGGTGTCCTCGAGCGGGCACACTGCAGGGGGGGGCCCCAGGGGCCCCCAGGCCCGGGGCGCCCCGGGGACCCCCGGGGCCCCGGGGGCCCCTGGGGCCCCCTTGGAAAACGTGCTCAGTCCGTGGCCAGGGAGGTCAGGGGCGATGCAGCGCACGCCGCGCTGCGCCAGGTAATGCAGCTGGTGCTGAAACTGGCCCGCGCGGCCGCAGAGGCCATGGACGAAAAAGGCCGAAATGCCTTTCTTTGAAGAGGAAATAGAGGCGTCTTTGGAGGCTGGAGGGGCCTCTGGAGGGGGGGCCTCTATGGGGGCCCCGTCAAGCGCAGTGGCAGATTCCGGTGTGTCGCCCAGCAGCCGCAGGGGCCCCTGGGAGTCAAGGGTGACCACGCGGAACTTCCAGGGGCCCACAGACGCAAACTGAAGACCTAAATGCTTACTTTCGGCTGCGAGAGGGGCACAGCCGCCACACAGTGCGAGGAGGCGGTCTTCCCCCATGGCATCCGCTGGCTGCTGCAGCAACCGCGGGCGGAAAGAGAGGGAATACGAGCTAACCGGGGACAAAAGAGGCCCTCTGCTCCTATTGTTAGCTCGTAAATTTATACACTAACTTGACTTCCAATGATCAAGTGCTGTATCCCAACTAACGGCCTCGAAAGACGATCAGTAGCCCAGTCAAAATGCTCGCTCAGAAGCTGCACGAGCTGTGTGCTTCAGCAAGAAACTGCGGACAAATTAGGGCAATTTTTGCCCCCGAGGTAACAGGACAATATAATTGAATCCGATTGTTCCTCCAATAAAAATGCTAATAATCCTGAAGATGAGCCACAGATTGTGCCAGCAAGGCACCACGTAGAAGGTTGTTTCAACTGGTCTGTCTCGGCACCATTCCCACTGATCTTCCGAAACAAAGCAACGAAAACAACGAGATTAGATTTAAATTTGCATAGATTTCAGATTAAAGTCCTGTGTTTACTGTTCTATCTATCCTGACACACTCGTGCAGCTGTGACTCCACTTGCCTGCTAGAGGTACAGTTCCTGTTTATGATTTGAGTGGCGGCTGACACGACATTCTCAACAGTCTGATCCATTCAACTTTAGGCATTTGCTTCATTATTTCAGGGCTTGAAGCTTAGGTAACTGTTCTGTTGTTGCACTGAGCCACTCTCCACGCACACAGAGCTGATTGTGCCGGCAAATTTTCCAGGTCTTGAGCTCAATGTGCGCGGGACTTGTCGCGTGTTAGTTCCCTGAAAGAGAGCCTAAGTATTAGGCGAGAACTGCCGTAATATAATATCCATTGTGCATTTCTTGTAAGGTGATATCTGTGGCATGATGTCCAGGTGTGGTAGCCCTCTTGCACACGTTATGCTGAAGCCCTTCTGTGCTTTTCCCTCGCTTTATGTGCGGCGAAAAGGACCAAAAGTAGAAGCAAATATCCGTAGTTATTCTCAAAGAGGGAATAGGCTTATGTCTGTGGGTTTTCACTGGGTAAGGCTCTTCATGAGGGCTTTACGAGCTCTAGGCCCCACTAGAATCAGCAAACGTGGGCTCGCAAAAACAAAAAGGGGATCTGGTCGAGGAAAGGACTGGCCACAACCACTCTATTTGTTTGTTCACTTGAAATAGAACAAAAGTGGTTGTGGCCAGTCCTTTCCTCAACCTGATCCCCTTTTGCCCCAGGAGAAACTAACGGATAGTAGTAACTCAGTACTAATAACACCTACATATTGAAGATACCATATACGTGAGCTGCACTAAGAACATCTTGATTAGAACATTTTAATCGCCTTATGGGTTCCTAGCCACTGTATTGCCTGCAGAAAGCTTAGTGGGACATCACTGAAATACGTTAGCAGAGATTAGCGCTGCATCTGCTGCGTTGCTGCTGCACAAGAAATTGTAGCAGCGCCAAACGCAGTCTGCTACAGAAGAAACTAATTTTAATCTTCTGGCTGTACTAAGGTTTCAAACCTCCTCCAAAAGCAGCAGCGGCCCATGCAGCAGGAGCAACTGCAAAGACACCAACACTCAAAGAAGCTGCTACACAAGAATGGAAACTACTTCTAGGTTTCTAGAAGCGCAGATATTCTCCTAGACGACTCTTGCGCCAATTGCTATTTGAGTTTGCATCGTTTTGATCTTTCTCACAAATATTTGAAGCAAAAAGAGCCCCTTTTGCTGAGGCTTATAAACTTCCCATATCATGGGAATCCCACCACAAGCTGCTGCTAGCGCTGCTGCAGCTGCGTTTTTTTGTCTCTACTGTTGCTGCGAAAGCTTTGCAGAGAAGTTCTTGAGTGCCGTGCTGCTGCCGAAGCTGCAACAACTGCTGCGGATGTGTCAGAATCGTGAAGTAAAAAGTCTCAGTCGATGCGGGCTGCAGCAGCAAGAATTCTTGCTGCCGCAATTAATGCTGCTGCTGGTGCCGGTGCAGCTGTAGGCTTCTTAAGGCGCTGCTTTTCCGAACACTTGCCTGCATCATTGCAAGCAGCAACAGCCTTCAATCTTTAGGAACAATTCAATAAGGCTACCATTATCAATGCAGCTACAGTAACCCAAGACAGTGTGATGAGGCACTAACTGGGGCGTACCTGTCGACTGCAGCAGCAAAAGAAGCGAGGTTCGAGAATGGCAGAAGCAACATTTCGGGGACCGCAGCTGTTGCATGCAGCTGCAGCATAAACAGCAGCAGCAGCAAGCTACGGCGCGACATGGAGCGGTAGCAGCAGCACCAAAAGCAGGCGTCAGTGAAGCACCGGCAGGAAAGAAGAACAGGAAATGCAAAAAAAGCTGCAGCAGAAAAACGAAGACACCCAAAGCAGATCCGAAAGCACAAGGAGAGACCCAGAAACAGAAAAGGCAGCAGCAGCAGAAAGGAAGCAGCAGGAAACTTACAAACTGCAACTGCTGCAGGTCAGTCAAGCAGTACAGCAAAAGCGTCTCTGTTTCTGACTTTTTTGCCCTAAAGGCCATTCGAATGGGGCCCCTGGCAGCCACGGGGGGCCTCAGCCAGCCACAGACGCGGTGTTGTAAGTACACTTCAGTGCACTGCAGCAGCACTGCCACGTCCTGAAGGCACACAAAGCTGCAGCAGCAGCAAACAGGAGCAGCGAAAGCAATCAGCAGCAACCAAGCGCTGCAGCAGTGACAAACGCCTGCAAAAAATTAACATGCCAATCCAGCTCCCCCCGAAAGACAGGCGCATGTTGTGGCTGCAACTGTTACTGCTGCTGTTGTTATTGGGTCTGCTGCTGTGCCGCCTGCTGCTTCTGGTTGCTGCTGCTGCTTACCACTGCTCCCTGAATTTGTATATCCCCACGTAGACGTCCTGAGAGCCCACGGGGTCTTGCTGCAGGAATTCCCTTTCTTTAAAAAGCTTCAGCCGCTTTGCCTTGCTGCTGCAGGCCAGTTTGCGCCACACTCTGCAGCTCACGGGCCGGTGCAGAGCCCTGATAGTGACCTGAGCAGCAGCACACTGAACACTGAAAGGACAGATGCTAGGGGCAGCACCAGCATCCTTGTGAACTCCAAACAGAAAGTAAGAAAGTAAATACTGAATGCCGTAGAAGAACCGAAAAGTCCAAACCCCGGCAAGCTCGTTTTCCATTATGAAAAGTTCTTTGAGGAAATATAGATCCTAGATCCTGCTGCTTCGGTTGTTGCCATGCGCTCACCTTGACTCGGGCCAGCAAGCTTGCGGCCTCATCTTCTGCTGGAGGTATGATGAGGGCCGAGACGGCACACGAAAGGTACGGAGAAACGCGAGGCTCTGCAGCATCAAGGCTGGCCCTAGCAGCAGCTCTGGCTGCGCTGCTGTGCGCTGCTGCTGCTGCTGCCAGCTTGCAGCAGCAAGACGGATCCGACATTGGAACCTTAGGGATGGCAGACACAAACAAATCTTGCCACTCTGCGTGCTGTCGATCCGCCTCCCCGGCCCCAAAGTTTCCTCTATGAGGACGAATCAGCCCTGCGCAGCAGCATTCAGCCCCACAAATGAGACTGTTCATGTTGCTGCAGCTTCTGCTGCTTCTGCTACTCTTGCTGATAACGCACAAAAGCCTTGCTACCGCCCCAGTCAAACTATCTATTAAAAATTCCCTTAGAAAGGAGTGGTATTCTAAAGCAAACAATTCAAGATGAGCACTTGGGATATCTGTACCATTTTAAAAATATTGTGTTAATAAAGGTTCTGCCATTAAACTAAATGCGGAAACAAGCCATTAAAAGGCTGTGCTCATCCAAACTGCGACACAGCAGCCCATACAACAGTGTGCAGCACCAGCAGCAGCAGCCGCAGCAGCAGCAGTGACTAACCCATGGCGGCGCAATACGAGGCGTGGAAAGTTTTGTATTGGGTTTCGTCTTTGGGAGTCCAGCGACCCCGAGACCCCCTCTGCTGTTTGGACAGAAGAAACACGAGGCCGTGCTGCACTGCGAGGCGGATAGCGAATGCTTCAGCCCGCAGCTCACTCTGCACTTCCTCTGCCAACGCAGCATCAGCTGCTGCACCTCCAGCAGCTGCTGCTGCTCCCGCGGAGGCGCGCTGGGGGATGACAAACAGACGCAGCGCCTGTAACAGCACCAGCATCAGAAAATAAAAGTCTGCCCCACTAAATGAATGAGCAGTTTCTGCTTCTGCTATTAATTGCTGGAAAGATGGATGGGGGGCGCAAGAAGACTAAACGGGAAAAAAGATACATCAAACTGCAGATCAACAAGAATGCATAAACATGAAAATGACAACACACCGCAAAACACCAAAACAAAATGATGATACCGGACAGAAACGGAGAGAGGCTGGAAGCAGCATAAGAAGCTAAAGCGCAAAGCCACAAGAAAAGAAATAACAGTGAGAAGACTGTGGCAGTCGAAGCCGGAAGAAAAGATACACAGACACACCAAAACGAAAGAGCAGCAACCCACGTGTAGTATTTCGCCGGTCATCTCCACATCTTCAACGGCAATTGCCTCGTGAAGGGCAAAACGGAGAAAGCGACAATCCGGCAGCCAAAACCGCTGCCCCAAGTTCAGAGAAAAACGGCCCCAGCCGCTCACAACCAACAGTGCATGGGTCACCTGCAGCAGTCGCCGGGCAAAGCAGTGTCAGCAGCAGCAGCACAAAAGCATGCAGCAGCTGCTGCAGCATATAAACGGGAAACAACGGCAGTGACAACAAGCAAGACGAAACAAAGCCAATATGGGATAGGCCAGTAGCTGTACAGCAGCAGGAACTCAGGAACCGCCAAAGCCAGCTACAACGCGAAACAGTAGCAGAAGCGGCAACGCAAGAGGAAGCAGCAGCAGCAACAGCAGCGACGGCCGTAGTAGCAGAAGTACTGCTGCAGCACTGTTGGTTTCGGCAAAGACGCTGCAGCGCATGCAAAGCCAGCAGCAGCTAAGGCAATGTAATGCAAATGCAATAATTACCATGTAGACTTGGTTGCGCCAATCCTCTGTCCCGAGATCGCTCCTGTTTCTCCACGGCCGGATGCTGCGAGACATTTCTTTGAGGATTGCTGCCACTAACGAAGTACTGCTGCTGCTGCTGCTGCCGCTGCTGCTGCTGTTGCTGTTACTGCTGCTGCTCTTGCCGCTGCCGGCAAGAGCCTCAATCCCAGCGCGGTGAAGCAGCGAACCCCAAACCAGCTGCTCAAAAAGACGACCGAAATCTACGCAGCAAACTTCTGGCAGAAGCTGACAGCCGCAAGCCATGCAGGCAGCTGCAACAAAACAATGCACAGCGGCAGTAACCTCCTATGGGAAGTTGCTGCTGCAGAGCAGTATGCTGCACAGAAGATAGTTTCCAGTGGCAACTATAGAAAATGAATAACATAACAAGGCGAAACGGACAGAAAATAAAATCAATATAGAGAAAGACATGTCAAAACCCGAAAGGCACGGAAGTAACCGAAACACGAAACAGCAGAAACGAAGAGCAGGGGGCATTAGGAAAGGAAAAGCCAAACAGAACCGCCGAATAAAAAACAACAGGCATGGACTGCAATGGCGTGACAGCAAGTAGGAAAATATAACACAAAAGTCATGAACTGCTACGAAAAAAGGAAAAGAAATTGATGAAAACGCGGAAGCCCGATGGATAAAGAGATGAGCAAAAGCGCCCCCGGTGAGGCAAAGGATGGAGCCATAAAGCACAAGACCAACGGGGAAACGGAAAATACCAAAACTGAAACAGCAGGAAAAGCGCAGGCCGCAGGCGCACGCCTTGCCGGTCACCAGACCCACGCACTGAAGGGTCCCTGAATGCCTTGTGTGTCGTTGCAGTTCGGGCAAGCCGTCAAGTCATACAGCAGCAGCCGCCCCCCTTGGTAGTCAAAACCCAAAGACTCCAAACCCCCGCATCGCACAGCTTCCCGGACTTCCTCCAGCCACTGCACGTATTCCACGCGCTGCAGCAGCGGAGAAGACCCAGAAAGACTGCTGTGCCGGTGGACCATTCTGCACAGAGACAAAAAGCCCGCAGCAGACACAAGAAATGCCAAAATCAATCGCGAGGAGAAGCTGATTTGATATTTTAGTGGCGACATGCGCTGGATCTAATCAAAAGTTCCGCGCAAGGGAGGACGATGGGCAAACATGAAATGCAAAAGAAGCTGCGGGCAGATGGTGACAGACAAAAAAGTGCGAGAACGCAAAAAGAAAGAGAATAACGGAGAAGAGATATAAAAGTATATGTGCAATGACATGGGAAGAGCAAGGAAAGATCAGAGTCTGCCGAGCTCTCGTGTCAAAAGCAACAGCTGCTGATGCACGTACAGCTGCGCCCAAGACGCCTCCAGCAACGCGAAGACTTTGCTGTCGTGCAGCAGGCCATCGGCGGTTATGCGACTCCTCCTTCGACTCCAAACGTTTAGAATTGCTGCTGCTGCATTCAGCGTCGGCTGCTGCAGCAAGCCGGAAGGCCCCATGTACCCTAGAAGGTTCGCCAGCAAGTAAGCAACTTCAGGCCCGTATTCCTGTGCCGACAGCAGCAACAACAGCAGCAACAGAAGGACAAGCGGCACCACCAGTAGATTAGACAGAAGTGGAGCTCGCAGCTGGTAATCTGTGGGAAAGCCACCAACAGCAACCCCTACAGAAGCAGCAGCAAAAAAGCAGCACAGGCAGGAACAGCAGCTACAGCAGAACCAACAGCCGCTGCAGCGAAGGCCCACTAGAAAGTGTTGTCTGTCATCATCGTTGGGGCTTTCCCCGAGCTGCAAAATGAAGTCCCTTAAGAATTTAATTGCATGCAAGGAGGCAACTTTAGCCATGGACTGCAGCAGCTCGCGCGCCACCTCTCCTGGCAGGTCCGACAGCAGCACGTACACTCCGTCACTGACTGCAGCAGCTTCTGTTTCAAGTGCTGCTGTTGCTGCTGATTCTGACGGTGGTGTTGTTGTTACTTCTGTTGAGGGTGAAGAGCGCTGCTTGGGCGTGGCTGGCCCCCCCCGCAGTTTGCGAGTTTGCAGCTGCTGCTGCTGTTTGCCCCGCTGCTGCTGCTGCTGCTGCTGTATGCGCTGGCTCTTCGCCTGGACTCGCTCCCCATTCTTTGCCTTCCACTTCCTCCAAGCAAGTTCTCCTGCAAAAAACCGACGCAGCTCCTGAAGCTCCTTGAAGACAGCTACCAGGCCCCCCTCTTCAGCTAGTTGGGCAAAGTCCACCCGCCTGCGCCTCCAGGCGGGGTGGCTGCCTGCTGCTTCTGCAGCAACAGCAACGGGTTCTCCGTGGCACACGGGACACATCCAGTGCTCATAGCCTTCATTTTCTGCTGCTGCTGCTGCTGCTGCTGTCCGTGCTGCTGCTGCTCTGCAAGGCTGCCGCTTCGCCGTGGCTTCGCTGTGCGGCTTCAATCCTTCCCTAGGCCGAGGCGCGGGTGGCAGTTGCTGCAGCTCTGCTGCAGCGGCAGCAGAAAGGCAGCTGCTGTTGTAAAAAGATGCAGCAGCAGCACTGCGGCTGCCCTCAGGCAAAAAACGCCGCAGGGGCTTGTAGCTGTACAGACACGCCGCGTGCATTACACGGGGGCAAAAGTCGCAGCAGAGCAGCTCTCCAGGACTTCCGCAAATGGAGCAAAAGCAAAAGTTACTTGCAGCCTGAAAGCAAACGCAAATCAAAGACCTGCCCCACAAGCTGCTGCCAACACAGATACTGCTGCCTCAACTGCTGCGGCCACTTGTGCCTCTGCCGATGCTGCTGCTTCAATGCTGCTGCTGCTGCGATATCGTAGATGTATCACCTCACCTGCAGCAGCAACTGCTGCAGCAAGCTAGAGCGACTTACTCCTGGCTTTACTGGTCGCCGTCGTGCCTTTGCGGCAGGCCGGCTCGGGACTGCAAGTACTGCATTTTGGTGCTGCGGCTGGTGCTGCTGCTGCTGCTGCTGCTGCTGCATCTTGCGGCTCTCGTCTTGCTTAGGCTCGGGCAGTTCAGCAAGGTCTGCTGCTGTCGCTTCCGCAGCTGTTGCTGTTGCTGGCATTTTTGCTTCCTCGGTGGCCTCTAATTTCGAGGGCAAGGCACAGGCAGTTTCCTGTTCCTCATCGTTGGAGATGCTGCTGCTGCTGCTGCTGCTGCTGTTGCTGCACTTAGAGGTGCTCTTGCTGCTGCTGCTGCTGAAAAAGGATGTTTGGCTTTCGCCGTCTTCCGTCTTCGTGCTGCTTGTGTCTGCTGCGCTTCGGTCGTCTCCAGTGCTGGTCACAGCAACGCCGCTGCTGCAGCCGCTGCTGCTGCAGCTGCTGCTGCTGTTCTTGCCACTCGTCTGGCCATGCCTGTCTTCTTTGCTGCTCCTGCTCAGTTCGGATGTGCTTGCAGTGCTGCCTTCAGCAGCTGCTGCATCAGCAAGTGCTGCCGAAACAGCAGCAGCTGCAGCAGTTTTCGTTGCTGCTTCTGCAGCAGCAGCCGAAATAGCAGCTACTTGTGGCGTTTCTGGTGCAGCGACGGAAGCAGCTGCAGTTGCTGCTGCTGCTTCCGCTGCAACAGAAGCAGCAGCAGCTGATGCGGCCGCTGCTCCCTGCTGCGTCGCTGAAGCGCCGCCATCGCTGCTGCCACGCCGTGGGGATAAATCGCTTTGCTGCTCCTCGCGTTTGACGGTCTGCTGCTTTTGCTGCTGGTGCTGGTGCTGCTCTGACTGGCCGTGCTGCTGCTCCTGCTTCTGCCGCTTCTGCTTCTTCTCTCCAGCATCCCCATGTTGCTGCTTCTCGATCCGCGGCTGCTGCTTCTTGTGTAAGGCCCCCTCCTGCTGCTCCTGTTGCGGCCGCCCGCGTTTGCTGCGCGCAGTTTCGTCGTGCTTTTGCTCACTTTTTTGCTGCTGCTGCTGCTGCTGCTGTAGCTGACTTCCGCTCCGTTCCTTTTGCTGCTTCCGATGGTGGTATTGTCCAGGCTTCAGCTCCTTATGCTGCTGCTCATCCAGCTGCTGCCTCTCCTTTTTCTGCTTTTGCTGTTGCCGTGGCTGCTGCTGCTGCCGCTCAGACTTCAGCCTGTTATGCTCCTCTAGTTGTTGCTTCTCCTTTTTCTGTTGCTGCTGCTGTTGCTGCTGCTGCTGCTCCTGCCCAGACACTTTGCTTGGCTGTAGACTCTTCTGTTGCTGCTCCTGCTGCTGCTGCCAGCCCTTATGAGGTGTTGTTGTTTTGCCCTTTTCCGTTGTTGGCGGGGATTTCTTTGTTGTCTGCTTGGAGCTGCTGCTGCTGGTGCTGTTGCCTTTGCTGCTGCTGCCACTGCTGCTTCTGTTGTTGTTCTTGCTGCTGCTGCCCTTGCTGCTGCTGCTGCTGCTGCTCTTGCTGCTGCTGCTCTTGCTGCTGCTGCTGCTGCTTCTGTTGTTGCTGCTGCTCTTGCTGCTGCTGCTCTTGCTGCTGCTGCTGCTGCTGCTGCTGCTTCTGTTGTTGCTGATGCTCTTGCTGCTGCTGCCCTTGGTGCTTCTGCCCTTGCTGCTGCTGGCCTTGTTTGCACTGCTATCTCTGCTGATGCTGCTGCATGCAGCGCGTCGGCTGCTGCGGCAGCCAGAGAAGGCCTGCAGCAGCTCTGCAGACGTTGCTAGATTCCGCAGCTCCCTTGAGCAGACTGCCAGAAGCAAACCCTCTCCTTCTTCATCTTCTGCCGCAGCAGCAGGTGCTGCTTCTGTTGAGGATGCCGACGCCGCTGCAGGGTCAGCTGTAGTTGCTGCAGCAGCTGCTGCAGCAGCCTTCCCCATTTTGTCAGCTGCCGACTTCGCAGAAGCTGAGTCAACTAGCTTTTTCCTTCTACTGCAGCTGCTGCTGCCTTTGCTGGCCGGCGTAGTGGAGGCAGCAGCTGCTGCAGCAGGTGATTCTGGTGCTGCTGCTGCGCGTGAGCGTTTGTTGCGGCCCGCTGTAAATGCTAGGCACAGCTCGCTAAGAGAATTGCCGTGTCCTGTTATAAGGTTCAAGAGTTCGCGGTCAGAGCCGCCCCCCTTTTTGCTTTGCTTCAGCTTCCCATGCTGCTGTTGCTGTTGCTGCTGCTGCTCCCGCGGGCGCTCTTGCTGTTCCTCGCTCTGCTGCTGCTCCTGGGTCTGCTGCTCTTCTTGCTGCTGCTGCTCGTGCCGGTGAACTTCCCGTGTCTCGCAGTTATCCTCGACGATGGAGCTGCAACTCTGCTGGTGCGCATCGGGGGGAGCTCCAAACTTGGGTTTTGCTGCTGCAGCAATATTAGCCCGAGCCGCTGCTTGTGCTCTCCCGAGACTTGTTGCTGCGTCAGAAGGCGCTGCTGCTGTCTCTGTTACCGCTGCTGCAGCAGCAGCAGAAGATTGCGAGTTGCCTTCTCCATCAGCCATTTGCGGGACTGATGCGGCGGGCTGAAGAGGGCACCCGCAGCTGCTGCTGCTGCTATTCCTGCTGCTCCCGTGACTCCTGTTGTTGCTACCGATGACACAAGAAGAGCAGATGACTGCGTGATAGCAGCAGCGTGCAGTTTGCAAGAGAAGAGCAAAGCCCCACTGCTGCAGTGAGGCGTTTCTAGGGCTGGAAGGCCATTGGTATTGCTGCTACTGTTGCTGCAGTAGTTGCGCATGTTGCAGCAGCTGCTGCAGCCCGGATCAAAGCCAGCTGAAAAAGCAAAACGGTTGCTGGCAGTTTACATCTTGCAACAGTCTCCAGCAGGAGTAGCAGCAGTGGCAGCAGACACAACATGAAGCCCCTCTGTGCTCACACTTGAGGGCCCCCCAGCCACCATACCCTCTAATGGCCGGCCGACGTACCCTTCTGTCTGCAGCCCCTAGGATTTTATTCAGTTTTTGCGTACTATTGTTTTTTATTAATTTCAATTTGCTGCAGCAGTAGCTTTTCAGCGGGTTGTTGGGCCACCCCCAGCCACTGCTAGTGGTGCTGTTGTTACTGCAGTTAACAACTGCGCCGGAGGATCAGCCACACCCCCCAGGTTGCTTCTTCTCGCTGCAGCTTCTGCACTTGCGCACATTTTGTCCTTTTTTGTTTTATTTCATTTTAAAGAATAGTTATTTAAGCTCTGCTGCAGCAGACGCCTCGCCGCCGCGCGCCACAATGGGCGGTGTGTCTTCAGCCCCTGACTCTCCCTCCAGCAGCAGCGATGACCAAGTCTGCGACATTGCCGATGCAGCAGGCCCTCCTCTGCAGCACATGCAGCAGCACCTGCAGCTAGAGCAGCAGCTGCAGCAGTATGAGTCCGCTGATTTGGAGTTCTATGACGCGAACTCGGGGGACGAGGAGTCAGCTCCTGGCCCACCTCAGTTGTCAACACTGCAGCAGCAGCATCATAGGAACAGCAGCAGCAGCAACAGGAGAGATTCAGCGTGGCATTCCACTAGTAGCCTGGCCTCGCTCCCCCAAGATGCTGCCCTGCGTGTTGCTGAGACTGCTGCAACTGCAGCAGTTGCAGCTGTTGCTGCTGCAGCCCAAGCCCACGAGTTCTTTACAGCACATGCAGAAGCATTTTCCTGCTGCCATCATAAGCGCCACCGCTGCTGCAGCGGCAGTAGCAGCAGCAACCAAGTGTGCGCTCTGCGCACTCGCCAGAAAAAGCGTCGGCTAATGCTGCTGCAGCAGCAGCTGACAAGTGCTGGTGCTTCTGTTGCTGCTGCTGGCCGACACAAAGAAGGCAGATACAGCGAAGGATATTCCCAAGGAGTTCCCCTGGGGAGTTCCTGCAGCACAGGTAGCAGGATCAGCAGCGGCAGCAGCTGCAGCAAGATCAGCAGCAGCAGCCAGCCCATCCTGTCTTACGAAGCGTACCACTCCCAACATCAGCACAGGCAACAGCGCAGCAGAAGCAGCTCGCGTCTAGGATTTAGTGGCAGAGATGCAGCAGCATCAGCTGCTGCTGCTCATAGGCCAATAGCCGCGTCGCTTGGATCACCAGCAGCAGCTTCTCCTCAAGCACCTGCACTGGCAGCAGCGCCAGCAGCACAGTTTGACTCCCCAGCTTCGCCGACGGCATCTGCAGCAACAGCAGCATCAGCCGCACCTGCATCAGCAGCAGCAGCAGCCCCGCCCAGAGAAGCAGCAGCAGCAATCCCAGGGGCAGCCTTGCAGTGGCCCGAGAGCCGCCCATTCGCCTCACCGAAGATTAGTTCGCCCCTCAATGTATCCTTCCAGCAGCACGAGGAGATCCAGCAGCAAAAGGGGCACGACAGCACTTCTCCGTCTCCCTTCCAATCTCAGCAAGATCAGCAGCAGCAGCAGCAGCAGCAGCGGGGCCGCCTGCGCTCCCAGCGGCAAAAACTTGTGCTGCAAACGCTGCTGCCGCTGCCGCTGCAGCGCCGGTGTGGCGTTCTGTGCCCATCTGCATTTGCTTCTTGTGCAGACGCGCTGCGGGTGCGGGAGGCGGACAAGAATTGCTTTTGTTTGTGCAAGGTGAAGCAGCCAGGCCAGCGCAGCAGCAGTCTATTTGGCTAGCTGCTGCTTGCATGCTCTCCTTTTTCGTTAATTCGGCAGTCTTTTGTTTTTCAGATCTCAAATATGTTGTATTTTCATGCATCTGGGTTTAGGGGCTTTTTTTGCTCAGTACTCCGTTGCCTATTTTGCCTGTTTGTCTTGTACAGATGTGAGTTTCTGGCTAGTTCATTTGTCCAGTTAAGTTGATTCGTTTGTCTTTCCTCTGTTGTTTCCCCAGAATTCTTTCATTCTTTTCCTATCTTTCAGTTTCTCTCTGTTCTTGCCTCCGCCTTGACCAAAGTCCACAGTCTTTCGATACTTTGCTGCTGCACAGAGGAAATGCTGCTGCAGATCTTGCTGCTGCGGCTATCGTTGCTGTTGCTGTTTCAGGCTCTTAGCAAGACAGAACGGGAGCGCCTGTCTTGCGCTTCCAAGCGTCCTCCTGTATGTTACCACATATTTGCACCTCGTACTGCTAGTATTGCTTACGTTGCTGTTGTTGCTGTTGCTGCTGCTGTTGCTGCTGCTGTTTGTGCTTCCACTGGCGCCATTTCTGCTGCCGTTGCTGGTTCTGCTTGTGCTTTCCTCGGAGCTGCTTCTTTGTCTTCGTGTGCTGCTTCGTGAAACCAGAGCAAGAGATCTCCAGACGCAAAGCAGGTGCTTTTGCTGCTGCCGTTGCTGCTGCTACTTCTGTGCAGTGCCACTGCAGCTGCTGCGGCATTTGGATGCATGGACTCTGCGCTCTTGCATTTTTTACCGTATGGGGGGATTGCCGAATGTGTGTCGTCTGCAGCCTCGTCTTGGCGGTGAGCAGCAGGAGCAGCAGTTGCACCACTAGCAGCGCATGCGAAAGCAGCAGCACCAGTTGATGTATATGTATCTTCCCTTTGTCATGCAGGACCCCACAAGTGAAGTTGTTTGGCTGTCAAATCTCGCCGCGCTGAAGCAAACAGTTCCAGCAGCAGCTCCAACAAGAACGCCAGCAGCAGCAGCAGGGGAAATCCCTGAAACGACAGATGCAGCAGCAGCAGCATCAGCTGCGGCCGTGGACCCAAGTGCTGGTGCAGCAGCTGGTCAAGGGGGGCGATCTGTGCAGTCTTTCGACCTCCGATCTTTCCCGCGGGACTCCCCAAGGCCTCCGCAGCTCCGTCTCGCTGCTGCAGTTGTTCCTCAAACGCCTTCCACAGCAGCAGCTGCAGCAGGAGAAGCAGCAGCGCAGACCTCAGTTGCTGTGTACGTCGACCCGACCGCCGCCAGGGGCTGTGAGGCAAAGACTCTGGCGCCTGCAACAGCAGCGGCCACAGCGCCACTGACAAGTAGCAGAATTCAGCGACTGCAGCAGGGGCCTGCCATGTGCCTCCGAGTGCAGGCAGTTGGCGATGTCTGCCTCGTGTCACTACCTCCCTTTGTGGGAAACAATCCCTACACTGTTTCCGTGAGCGCAGCAACGATGACAATATGCAGTATACGAACTGCAGCATTGGCTGAAGCAACGGCTGCTGCAGCAGCGCAATGGCTGCTGCAGCAGCGAGGGAGGAGGGATTTTCGCCTGCTGCATGCGCGGTGGTGCTGCTTTTTATGTACCTTTCGCGCAGGTTGGGGCAGAGGGGAAAACGGAGAAGACCCTGCTGGTGGCAGCAGCAGCAGCGAGACCGCTGGACCCGCTGCAGCTGATACAAGCCATCCGGAATCTCCGCACGCTAAATCCCAACCAAGGCAGAGCCTACGTGAGACAGAAGTACTTCATGCAACTGTTAACTGCTGCTGCAGGTCATGCTTTTGTTGTTGGAATTTAAAGTGCTGCGCATTGTAGTGCTGCCGCGATGTCTTGTGTGGCTGCAGCTGTTGGATGTCTTCGCGCGGGAGAAACGACAGCAGCTGCGGCTGCAACAGCGGATATACATGTACCAGACAAGAAAACGCCATACGCCTATGCAGGGCATCTGCTGCAGCAGCAGCAGCAGCAGCAGCAGAAACAGCAGCAACACCATGGCGCAAGAAACTACTGTACCTGGCATTTTGCACCGAAGCGCCACATCTAGCTTGAGAGCTCGAGGTGATGTTCGAAGCTTGGTGAAGGACAGTTTTTGTTGTGTTTGTTGCTGCTACTGGTACTTTTGCCGCTGGGTCTTCGTTTTATCCATTGGGGGGGTTATATTTTGAATCCATTGTGGGTTTTTTGAGTTAATTTGCTGCGTCTCCGTTTGCTGCAGTCTCCAGCTTCTCTTCCACATTTTCCGCAGCAGCTGCAGCAGGCGCAGGCGTAGCAGAAGCAGCAGGGGAAACAGCAGCAACAAGTGAAGTTTTCTCCCCGCGTTTGCGCTGCCTTTCTCTGGCGCAAGAAGGCTCGTCAGAACGCCTGCGCCTTCCCTGCCGGTCTATTTGGTGTGCTCATGCGAGCTGCTTCGACTTGGAGTCATATCTCTACAAACAATTCAGTGTATTGACATCGAAAGGCCCTCCTCAAGGGGTAGTAAAGGGAGCCAATGGGAGTTATGGAGAACCCCATAAAGGCTCCTCGCCTCCAGCCACTTCTTCAGAAAACGCCAAGGCGGGCTCTTGGCGTTGCCCGTTGTGTAAGGCCCCCGCGCTGCCCCATGAGCTGTATGTGTGTGGATTCGTGCTGCAGCTGCTGCAGCAGCAACCGAAAGATACAGCAAGTGTTGTCTTTGCAGACCCAGACCTGCTGCTGCCCATACCCCACAGAAGACTGAGAGAAGTGGCTGAGGCGATCAGCAGCTGACGTACACCAGCAACAGCATCAGCTGCTGCTGCAGCTGCAGCAGTATCTACTACACTTGCGGCTGTTGCCGTCTCCCCTACAGGACGTGCCACTCCTGCCGGTGTACCAGCTCCGACAGTCTCAGAGCGACGACAGCGGCAATAGGTGCAGCAGCTCCTGCCTCTCTCTCGATAGCGGCAACGTTTCGCGTTGCATTTGGTCGCCGAAGCATGCTTTTTGTCAGGATCCTATGACTCTTGTTTACGGAAGTACAGAAGGCAGTCGCCTTCCAGCTCCAGCGGCAGCACCTGCCGCGCGGCAGCTGGGAGGATGACAAGGCGACACGTGGGGTTGTGTTGCTGTTGCTGTTGCTCGTTTTTCAGTGCTTTCTCTCTGCTGTTGACGGCAGTCTTTGTACTGTAAAATCAAGAAGGCAGCAGCAGCAGCTCCATGGGGCAGCAGCAGACAACTCCCAGTAGCCAAGGGCTTACCGGTTTTATTTAGGAGCGTAGCCCTCCGAACTAGCTGCAGACCATACCTCGTCTGTATATGAGTTTTTATTTTTGGGGTCGCTTAACATTTAGTAAGACCAAATAACACATACCAATACGTCCCTGGGTCTTCGCGGGACATGGAGTTGTATAGATAATCTGCTGTGGTTTAAATTAGATTGCAGCTTCTCGTTGGAGTTACGCCGTCTTATGACTGAAATTCAATGCCAGCAGTACCTGTGAAAATATTTGCACATCGATTTCAGGCATGGGGATTTGTTGGGTGCCCAGTGGATTCTGGATTAGGTCAAGCACACGCACATATTATGCGCTTCACGTAGAGTATATCGATATGTTATATTTATTGATGCTTCAGGGCCCGGCCTTCTGCCAGGAGCCTAAATATACTGAGTTATACGCATATATAGGGAGGAGTCGATGTAATATGCGTACGGAGGCAGATCACTGAGGACAGCAAGATCCTTCGAGCACAGCAGCCAAGCTGAGCGTTTGATGTTGTCCCTGCAGCTACCACGTGTCCTGTGCATCCTGAGGGATCAGGGGTTTGTGTGACCAAATATCTGCTGAAGCGTTCTTAAGTGTTCCAATCTTTCAAGGGAGGGATGTCACAATACTTTCTAACTCCGCTTTGCCTCTTAGCCTCGATGTCACATTCGGTTCCACTGCACCTCCACAGTGCGTGCGGGTTGTGTACGGACAGTACTAGTCGAAAGCGACGACGCAGTATATGACCTCAGTCCAGTGCTTAAGCAGAGATACTGTCCGGCCTGGCCCAGACACACCTTCACTGGTATGATTCATACAATCGCATGTGAGCATCAGCAGACTAGCAGGTGAAAATTAAATAACTGGGATTGCTGATTTTAGACGTACGTGGTACACTTCAATGCAGGCGATGTAACAGATTCAGGGCTTCCAAACACTGGTGGAACAAGACGCGCATGGTGCAACTTCAAGCGGGTTCTGCTGCGAGAGGGCACCCTGACGCTACTCCTTTGTTCCGTCGTAGTGCGCACGACCCAGTACAGCTGGAGCTCGCACGTGGTGCAGCCTCAGCCTCCAATGCTTACAACACAGCTTACTGGAATTTCGTCATTCCGTTTAACTACTCCAATAACCCTTTAAATTCATATATGGTATCGCAGCCATCCACGGAATTCGCTCAAATATACAATCCTATACCTGGGAAAGTACGTAGTTAAACTCCCTACAAATTACATTTTCACACTAAGCGACGCCATAGTGAAAAATTCTTCAGTTAGTTTCCACGCATGATGTTGATGCCTCAAAGCAATGCCTCAAAGTTGCCACTCCCGCAGGTCTAAGAGCTAATCTGCACAACAACAACCATGGTAGCGGTCACGGCCAAGAGGCTGCGTGGCGAGCCATGGTTACCTCAAAATTTGCTCCGCTAAGCCCCAGTACTCCTTGCAAAAAAGCGGAAAAGCTATAGCAAATCAGCTTTCACTCACCAGCTTCAAGCCAGTGAACAGCGGGAGAGTCACCACAAGCTAGCCGCCAGATGGTGTTAAAAAAAACCCCTGTAGGTCCTCGGCCACATAGCGTTAGCATGGCAGTGCAGTTCAAACTACGGGCACCGGGGATCGAACCCGGGATCTTCTGCGTGTTAGGCAGACGTCATAGCCACTAGACCATGCCCGCAACGGCCTGCCCCAATACTACAGCAAAAGAGCACGATACGCGTTGATTGAGCACAGAGCCTGCATCCAGGCTAGCTTGAGGCTTTGCAATTTCATATGCAGTGGGCAGAGGGTCTAACAGGTACATCATGCTGCCAAATCGTGTAGAGGAGGACACTGGGAAGACGTAGCTAAATGAGCCCACAAGAAGGCCGCTGTTGGTGAGTGCGGAATGATTGAAGACTAAATCTGGCAAGTGTCAATTTTAAAAACACACTGTCAAGTATAAAATTTTGAAACTAATACAGGAGAAATGCATACACGTCGCATTGGGATGCGACGACTCGATGTTGATCATGACACTATTGTGGATTTAGAGCTGAAGCCAGCACCCACTTTTGCGCTTGCATATTAAGTCTTCAACCAACCTAACGATTGGAAACCCAAAACTAACTTGGGCCTTAATTAGAAAGGGCAAAATCATTCCTGTTTATGTGAGCTGGCTTAGCGGAGAAGAAAGAGGGGTTGAGGAACGGGCGTCTAGCTCAAATGGTAGAGCGCTCGCTTAGCATGCGAGAGGTAGAGGGATCGATACCCTCGTCGTCCACTAGCAGTAGCTTCCGAAGCACACTTTCTTGTGTACATTTTTTGTCTTCAAGAGTGCTCATCTGCGCAAATCAGCACCGGGCATCCGTTTTCACAATCTTCACCTCTCGTTAGCCTTCGTTCCGTCACGCCTAGGTGGAGGTGGAACCATCTTGAAAGCTTCGCAACGGCCGGAAGCCGTTTGGAACTTGATTTACAAAATAACAAGCAGCTATTTGCTGAGTGCTACACATAAATTCATGATTGCTGAAGATAGACGGTCCTATCACCTCCTGCTGACTCGGAGCGCCGGACCTTATTTCAGGAGGAATGACAGGGCGTTAGGCGCCTGATTCAAACTCTAGTTCATATCAGCTCTTGTCCAAGCAAACGACCTTGTAATATGACTGGGTGCAGATGACTAGAACCAACCAGCCAACGTCCCGCAACAACGGGTCTTCAGATTTCTGGATTTGCATGGATTTGCACAAACTTTTCCCTGTGGATAAGAGGTGAACAGCAACAGACCATGCATAAAAATGACCAATTTAGATTTACTGCCTCATAGCGCCAGCTGCTCGTTGCTTGGGTCCTTCAGAGCCCAAACTAACGTTCCCACGTGTCCCCCATAATAGCAAACCACAACAAACATGGGGGCTGCAGGCGCGGTTTAGAAAGGAGGCTCAGCAGCGGGCCCGCCTTGCATGTCCCTTTGAAACTCACCGCGCGAGTCACACGGCGCCGGAGCTGCGGGCGCGGAGCACAGAAGTGCCCCGTAGCCTCTCTCCACCTTGCGCAGCTGCGGCTGCGCTTGTTCTATTGCCGCCGCAGCGAAAGCAGCAACTAGCTGGGTCGCTGGGGCGGGCCCTGTCGGTAACGTACGATCCACATTTGTGTTTTTCTCGGTATTTATAAAGGGGGCTGATGTGACTGAATATTGTTGTCGAGTCGCTTTATGCATTCTCAAAGCCAAAAGTCATTTTTAGGTTTTCCGCTTCAAAGGTAGCACACTCCTTGGGAAGTAAGTGTAAGGTAAAGCATGGGATCAGACCAGCATAGCCTGAACACACTCTGTACGAGCTGCCTGGCGTCAGTGTTTTCTATTAAGGCTGGGACCTCCATTGCGTGGGCCCTTGAGTGGGATGTCGCAGTGTTGACAGCACACGCGGCCCGCGTAGGTGTTGGTGTTACTACAACGATCCCACAACCGCACTGATATATGAGCCACAACAGGGAAGGACTGCGGCTGGACAGGATACTGATTGTTGTGTGCTAAGCTGATCCCTGATGCTAGGCCTGCTTGCGTATTTCTGCTGGCAGAGGCGCAAGCTCAATACTGGCTGAGTCGGGTCCCGCAGCAACAGCGTTTTCCACTGCCCGGCGGCAGCAGCATAGGAAGCCTCCCAGCCGTCGCAGCAGCTGCGGGGAGGATCGGCTGGGGCTAGAGGTGGCGGTCATTTGAAGTCGCACGAATGGCAACTCGTTAGAGTATAGCGAGTTTCGGCCGAGCCAGAAGTCCCAGCAGTTGCGCCAAACCTGTGCAGTGGACACATAATTGGCGTCAACAATATTCAATGGCAAGTGTAGTAAAAGCAAAAGTTGTGGTGTCCATTCAATCACTCTGTGGAGAGCCTGCCGCCTCAGCAGATGTCACAGCACATGCTCTTGCGCGTATTTAAATGTGCGTGATGGCTTGGTCTACGGCGAAGTGTATATATATGGCTCTACTTGGACAGACAGGACCACACTTTTATTCTGACTGCACCGCGTACGGTGAAACAACAAATCATATCTATGAGGGTGTAGCGCTCCAGATTTGCTGACCCCTTTGCTAAGAGGATTGAAGGTCTTTTGCCAGCGCATTCCATGACGAGTCATCACACCAACCCTCCGCCACAGGTATTTGTACCTGAACAATGCCATGCAGACCAAAGGTGGCGCCTTGAACGTGGAAAATAACTGTCACGAATACCCAACAGCCAAGCATATAGATTAGCAGGCTAGTAAGGTGCTCAAGGAAGCGCAAGAATCACCATACTTTGCCGCTCACCTTCCTCTATTTAACAGCTCATTCATGGTCAAATTGTTTGCAACATTGCGCAGATGAGCCCACAGGAAGGTGCAAGACCTAAATGTAGCGAGGGGCAACGCGTACATTGCCTGTGGTGTACCACACAACACAACAAACACTTGACAACGCAGTCAGGAGAAGGGCTACTGCGAGAGTGAACAAGAACACTAACAGAGTTTACCGCAATGCCACTGAATTGTGCATTAGCAGAGAAGCTCGGTTTTGTATCTTTTCCTTTTGTCTGCAGTTGTCAGTCACTTGTTCAATATGTGTTTGTGTTTTTGTGCTTTCTTCATAGTTTCAACAGGTGTTTTTCTGTTGGTCCGCTTACCACTGCTAGAAAAGGGTCATGGTAGAACAGCTCCACTGTACCCTGCAGAAAACCTTCAGACTTCACGTGGACGAAGTAACAACAACAACAGAGATACATGTGTAGTACCTGCGGCGCAATAACAGCAATTCACTTGCAAACAAAGTTAACGAATCCTCAACCAGCACATGGAGCAGACATAACCATGCTTAAAGAGGGTTGAAAGGTTTTATTCCTCATACAAAGCGCAAAATACAAGCTAGATGAACAGGCAAAGGAAATAACTGGAGCAACCAGATATGAACGACAAAAGCATGTGCCGCTTTAAGAGAACGCACCTGGGTGCAGCAAACACATAAGAGCCATGCCGTGAGGCACCGGGCGTTTCCATAGCCGACACAATTTGCTATCCAAGGGCAGTGGTGGTCAAAGCCTTCTATGCATCTGTCACAAACCCTGAGCGATTCAACAGAGGGGGGAAAAGGAATAGAAACATGTACGGCTCCAAGATTCTAACAACATGAATGAGAGCAAGCACAACAACCAGTAAATTCCATGTGAATAAAATGGCTTGAATCAAAGGCAGCTTACACTATTGTTCAGTAGCACTTCACATGTATCTGTGTACGTATCCCATATATGATTGCATTCCTTCTTCATATCTGTTCCGTTTCCATTTAATTCTACATCTATAAGTTAAGAAGGGATCACAAATGGAAGCTAGTCGAGTGATAATTACCTGCAGTGCTTTGTGCGAATGGGACGGTAGATCCAACATGTGTAGCACAGCCGCTGCATATCGATTTCCTCTATTGTCTCAGAAGGGGTTTCAGGCGCAGCCAAAAGCTGCAACAATTGATGTACAAAAACGTTAAGCAGCCTGAGACTGCTTCAAATCTGTGGTTAGCTTACTCCCACGCTCTTGCTTCCAGACACAAGGATGGCATAACCACACGACTAGAAATATCTGAAGGCACCTGAGGCGAGGCTCGGCAATGCCGATGCATCAAAGGCAGCACTGGACTGTTGCCCCACACCATTTGAGAAAATAGGATAGCAAGAAAGAAAATGCAAGGACATTGGGAAAAATAGCGAGGCGCAAAAAAGCGAAAGGATCGGGCACAAAAGAATACATGACATGCAGACGAACGAAGAATGGAAGCGATAGAGACGTAAAACCAGCAAAATGAAGTGAAAAAACAGACGACAAGGCACGCATACAATCATGCAAGCAAACAGAGACGACCCAATCTGTAATAGCCTTACATCCATCAGCTCCTCCACGGACGAATTTCCTTTGGGTCGTCTAGGGAGTATTCCAGGATTAGAACATATGAGCACTGTGATCAGTAGCAGCCCCGTATACACTCCAATCTTACCCAATAGACAAAGACGCGCAAACCAACCCCCAGCCCAAACCCCTGCTGCCGCTCCTGCTGCAGCAACACTTTCAGGGGTAGCCGGCAGGTAGAGCGGGTCAAACTGAGGAAACGGCAGGCAGATGGCCTACAACGTGCACCTTTTTCTTCCCAATTGAACATTAACAACTTTCCTGTAGCTTGTATCTATACGTGCAGCTAGCAGATGCCTCTAGAATATGTTCCCATTCACGTTCTCAGGCACTATTCCCACGCTTTAGCCACCCTACTGTATGGACTGGATACGGAAATGCTCAGGCATGGCGTGGATAGCTTTAATCAGGGTTTCTCATACTGCAGCAGTATTGACGGAAGTGTCAGCATTAGCAACAGGGGAAGGGAATATCCTAAGCTTACGGAGCGCGCGTAGACAATCAGCATCAACGTGAGACCACACAGAGCCAAAATTGGAGGCGCCTTCAACTGCCAGCCACCGCTGCAGTCCATCAGCAACCGGCATATACGCGATGGCCGGCACGAATGTGGCGACTGCGATAAACAAATAATCCGGCGAACAGGCAGGGAGGCAAAATAGCAAAAAACAGGCCATGTACATGAACATGAACTGTGTGTCTTTTTGGGAGTTACTCATGCACAGCTCGCGTACAGCCATGGTTTGCTTCCACATTCGAAAGCGCACACCACCCAGGGTCTTCAAAGCCCAATACAGTAAATCGTGGTTTTTACAGTACAGGTCAGTCCCAGCGCACCCGCATGTCATCCTCTGTCAACACGCGGTTACGGGGGTCGTTTCGCAGTTGGGGGTTCTGCTGCAGCTTCTTTACATAAGCTGTGAGTTCAGGATTGACTGTTTTGCTCGCAGCTATTATATCTAGCGGCGTCTGCAATATGAGAGCAGGACAGCACGTGAACAAGAGTACAATTTATACTATCTACATATACCTAGCACTTTTCATATATACATGATATACATGTATACATTCCTTAGTGTATACATGAAATACATGTGCAAACAGATATGTGCGTATGTGTATACAATTCATTTCACTTTCCGTGCTGCTCCATGATGATGATTAGTCTATCTCACTAGGCGTGACTTCGTGGTGCGTTCACTGGGGTCTTGGCCGCCTTCTTCTACAAGCGCTCTGTTGAACATCATTAGGAGCAAATGAAAGGCAAAGGCAGGGAACTCCTACAAGAGTAAGTGCTGCTGTCTGTTGAGCACTAAGCGAGCAGCGACAGCAAGCACTCTGATGAAACCGTGGCGGCCAAAGGATCGGGAACAGCACACGGAAATAACCAAAGACAGCGCTGGCTCTGTAGGGCTTTCTAGAACAGTGCCTACCCTGATAGCTACGCTGGTTCCTGACTTCGTGGCCTGCTAAGTAGATAGCTAACTAGATGGTGAGCTATCTGGCCAGCTAGCTAGGTCAGGATCGTAACCCACCGGAAAGCCTCTAAGTGGCCGCCTTCGGCCGCCCGGTGTAGCGGCAGACAGCCAAACAAATCGACAGCCGTGACATCCACGTCAAAATACAGTAGCAGACGCAGCACCAGTGTGTGGCCCTGAAGAGATTACCCGCACGCAGCAGGCATTGCATTTTTCAGACAGTGCAGCCTTGATGTGTTCACATCAAACCCTATTCCCACAGAAAGTAAGATTAGTGCTTTCACGTAAAAGGGTGCTGTTTGGTATCTTTTGCATTATTTCTTCGAGCTCGAGCCGCAAGCCCTCCGGCATATATTAGTGTTGTAAATGTGCAACAAGATCTACACGGATCAGCCTGCAGCGCCTGCAGCTCCTGCTACTTATTCACTGTAAATATGCACCAAGATCTACACAGATCAGCCTGCAGCGCCTGCAGGTGCTGCCACTACTTCAATACTGAGCCCCCGGCTCTCTGCTGTGGGCGTTGTGACTTACCTTGAAGGCGGCCCAGTGCGCGGGCGTGGAGCCACTAGCGTCTGGCACAGCAAAAGCTGCGGGGCCAAGAAGCTTAGCAAGCAGCAGAACACACTTGGGGGCATCGTGCTGGGCCGCGAGGGTGCAGCAAGTGCCCCCCTTAGAGTCCTGCAGCAGGGGGCTCTGGCCCAGGCGTTCGGGGCAGTAGTCCGGAAGCCCCTGAGGCTGCAGGGGCCCCTCAAGGGACCCCTTGGCTTCGCTGTTGCTCATCTGGTAATCAAACAAGGCGGCGCCGTGCTGCAGCAGCAAACGCGCAGCTGCAGTGTTGTCCTTTGTCACCGCCCACATCAACGGCGTCTGCTTCGTCTCAGTCGCGCGCGCGTTCACGTCGGCCCCTACATTGCAGCAGCAACACGGAAGCAGCAGCAGCAGCAGCAGCAGCACGGGATACGAGATTTTTCTATTTTGCGTAGATTACTGTCTTGCATTTAGGCTGTGTTCTACAAGAGTGAGCCAGCATGAAGAGGGTGGGAACTAGGGCTTGGGAAGGCCAGCCTAGCCTTGAAGTGGCTTGCCCGCATCAATGAGAAGCTTCATGACGCTGCGCTCATTGCAGAGAGCTGCCCAGTGCAGCAAAGTGTGTCCTGTCTCGTCTCTGAGGGAAATGTAACTCTGTGGAGGCAGCTGGCTCATGCACATGGCAGCTAGCTGCCCCTGGGAGGACCTCAGCATTAGGAAGAGCTGCGCATGCACTTCTGGCTGCTGACAGAGCTCAGCAGCACGGGCTCGCAGGGAAGCAGAGACCAAACTGGCGCTGCTGCTGCTGCTAGCTGTGGCCAGGCACACCCGCGAGCTCCATCCTGCGGACTCCCCTCTGTCTAAGGGCGCTCGGACACTGCACGAGTTCCCCTCCAGGGGCTGCTGCTGCTGCTGCTGCTGCTTCTGCTGCTGCTTCTGCTGCTGCTTATGCTCTTGGGCCGGGTAGCATGGGAAGGCGGCCACATCTACGTAGGTCGGAAGCTCCCGAGAAGAAGCCCTGGAGGACTCTTTTGCGTTCTGGGGGAAAGCAGCCCGCGGGCGCAGCCCAGTAGAGCTCGTCTGGCGAGAACTATTGCTGCTGCTGCTGCTGCTGCTGCTGCTGGTTTTGCTGCTGGAGCCCGCGTTCTGCTCACTGTGTGCAGTGTCTACACCCTCAGCGCCGCCATCACCTGGTGGCGCTGGCGAGTGCTGCATCTTCGCCCCGCAGCCCTCTGCATTCCACGCACGTTAGCAGCGCCCGCCGTGCAGTTGGTGGCAGCAAAATGGCGTGTGAAAGGGGCATTCAACAAGACTCAAAGACGCAAGGGAAGACAGAGGAAAGGCCAGTGGTGTGCACAAGCTAGGCCAGTGGAAGCCAGTGGTTAATGGCGCTCGGTGTGGGTTGTGTGGATGAAGCCAGCAGTCGCACTGTGTCAAATGTTAAGGGGAAGTGCTCTAAACGCAGGAAGGGCTGATGTACCAAACGGCAGCGAGGGAAGCCGGGCTGGTACGGTCTCAAGTGCCCGATGACGAACCACAATACCAAGCTCTACATACGCACGAACTGCTCCCCCGCATGTTGCTGGTGGATATGGCAGTTCACAACTCCGCAGCCCACCCAGACAGCGACGCTGCGCAAAACTGAAATTCACATGAACGCGCGCTCTAACCTACTGGTCAGGCCCGAGGCAAGAGCGGCGTACAGTGATTAAATCCAATTAAACGACTAATGAAGTACATGTAATCTATAAATGCTAATAAATTGCAGCAGGCGTTCAACTGCTCGTTCATGCATGCAGCTTTGGCTTCATGAAGAGGGAAACAGCGGCAGTGGTAGTGATCCTGTCCGATAGAAGTATCGATCCGTCCCCTAAAGGCCATAATAGCAGCTATTTATTATGTGTTTTCGTTAGAGAAGCGCGGTCTGCACACACCCTGACTGAGTTTTCCTATCGACTGACGACTACGCTGGCTCAATGACCTGGCGGCGAGCACCGAAACTCGGCGGCCATGAAGTGTTCCGAATCCTTCGGACCTTCACACAGTCAGTTTGACTGTAGAAATAGCACAGATTGGCTTTGAATATTTGAAACTTGACCTCAATCCGCTCACCATTGCCACCGTTGAGCGGCCGCTGAATTCGGGTGTCTGCGGAGCCCGACTTGAGGGTGGAAGTATTCTGAACCGCTCGCGACAGCTCGAAACTTATTTCCTCTTCAGCCTGCGATCTACGTAAACCAGCAACTGCTAGCCATGGAAAGTAACGTGCCCTCAGATGGCGCCCTCGCTACATCTGCTGATTCCATAGTTTCGCGCATTGAGTCGTTGGTATTGTTTTTCTTGCACAGAATTTCAGAAGATCCGGAGAATGACTCTAAAACAAAGGTTTCTCAAGATGAAGCTGTGTTTCCTGGGTCTTTTGCTGCGGACAATGAGTCGAATACGGCCACTGACAGTCCCGAATTCTTGTTCCCGCCTCTTTCGAACAGATCCATTCAGCGTTCTGCTAGCCTGCTGGCCATCATGCGAACTATCCTGTCCCTTCACGCAGAAAAGCGTTACTCGACCTTGCGGCATATGTATTACTCCAACGTTACCATAGCGCCTTCCCAGCGGGTCATCGACAGAGGCGTAGCGGCTCTCACCCAGTTCTTAAAAACCCCCCGCGAGGAGCTCCGCATCACTAGCACATCAAAGTGCATCATAAAGGGCCCAATTACAATACAAGAAAGGACGAGTACGGTCTAACTTGTTCTGCTGTTCCCCTTGCAGTTGTATCGTAGCGCTCCCAGGCACCGGGCTGATACAAAGCGACTGCGGGAACCCGCTAGAGGTGATTCAATTCATATTTTAATCACAAGATAGAAGAATAAAGTAAGACATTCGCGAAGAGCAGAGGCCACCTCGTGTCCTCCCTCGGGCTGGATAAGGTGCTGCACGCAAGCGAGGATATCCGTTTTGTCTTGGTGAGAAAATGCAGAAAAAACAACTGGCGCTTTCTCTTAGCTTTTCTTTTGTGTGGCTCAGGTTGTGGAAAAAGAAACAATCTTCTACTCCCTCATCGATTCGCAGTTTATGGAGCGGTTAGTCACAGCCGGGGCTGAGCTGCCCCTGCGGCTTAGAGTCTGCACCTTTTCTTTTTCAGGCACGGCCCTTGCGTCCTTCTTACGGGCAAAGGATTCCCAGGTGATGGCTGCGCATGCTGCTGCTGCTGCTGCTGCTGCTGCTGTGGTTGTTGTTACTGTGCAAAGGCAGTTGCTGCTGCCGTCGCTGCGGCCGCACCTGCGATAGCTGCTGTCAACTCCGCCGTTGCTTCCTCGGGCTAAGTTAGAGTTGCACATGCCCGGAAGTTCATACCCGGTTGTTGTCTTCTGGGCAAGGATTGTTGCCGTGTTTGCTGCAGCCGCTCCGTTGAGTTTGTGTTCAGCAGTTGTTGAAATTGTGGTTAATGGTTTGTGTTTTTTAAATTCAGATATCAGCGCGCGGAGCGTCTTGTGGCATATTCATCAGCGTTTTGGAAGCCGGCTGCCGATATTTCTGCTAACTGACTTCGACCCCCACGGGCTTCTCGTTGCAATGACTTACGCGTTCCCGCCTCGGAAAGCTACGAGATACTGTCAGAACAACGCAGCAAAAATGATTGCTTTCGATTGATCTTGGGTCTTGACCGATTACTTTCTCATTCCATTGTACAGACTTCCAAGATTACTCAGTCCCCAGCGCTGTGCTGCTGGCGCTGCCTTCAGCAGATGAGGCCGGCGCCTTCTTCGGAGTGCCGTTGTCTAATATGTCCACCATGTCAGACTCAAAGCGCAATTTGCTTCCAGGGTAAGATCAAATTGCCATCTGTAAGTGCTGCGCTAATTTCTGAATGGGTCGATGCACTGTTGACGCGCTCTTAAGGATTTCCGACCGGGTGCAAACCGCAGAAGAACTGTGGCCAGATCTTCACCCCAACTGGAGGTTCGCGCATTTGCTTGACTTAACTTTGCAAGTCATCTTGAAGTTTGGCTGCTGCACTCCTCAGGCGTCAACTCATAAAGTTACGGCGAACCAAGGCCACATACACGTGGGCACTGTCGGCTGCCACTTTACTTTGCTGCCATTCAAAGCCGGAGTTCCTTCACTCATTGCGAGCTCCTTAGGTTGGACGTCCTTAAAGACTTGCCGCGCTTTATTATTGGAGCGATAGACGAAGAGCTCAGCGCTGATGACAGCGAAAAAAGCTGCGCTGACTGCAGCCAAGCGTGAAACTCACAATTACACATAAGCTGAACATTCAAGCAAACACGCCAAGCAGAACGTCAAAGCGTGCAACAATGCAAACCGCATGAACTGCTTCAGTGTCGCATTTTCTAGTTGAAACGGCAAGCTGAGACCCCTATTACCTTTTACCCCGATCCAAAGGCTGTAGCCTGACAAATGAAATGGCGCACACGCCTTGAGCCGAATAAACGTCTGCAAAGAGTATGCCTTAATCAAATAAACGGTGGCAGTTAAGAATGAAACCTTCAGTCAACTAGGGTTTGGTGCAGCCGCGCTGCTGCTCGTTGCCTGCATAGCCACGAGATTTGGGTATTGGTTGACAACAAAATTCATCAGCTGCTTGAAAACAGCTGAATCCTGCAGATGGGGTGGAGCGGCCTCGCGGTGGCCATTGGCGCCCACGAGACAGCCGTAGAGTACAACATTTTCCTCGTCAATTATTTTCTCGAGCTCCGCCAGCTCCTGAAGTCACAATGTGACAGAATTCAACATCAGGAGCCATCTAAGTCAGTGGGAGTCGCTTTGGAGGCATTTACATCTATTAATTACGGCTTGTTCCCCGCGCTTTCGGGGGCACGTAGTAATTTGAATCAAGTGTGAGATTCCTTGCCTCTAGGCGAAATGTTTTGATGCTCCTCTCCGTGAACGCGCTGAGGATGAGGTCCAGCTCAACCCACCCGCGCTGCACCACCACCGTCCACACACTTGTATGCGCATGCATGTGCACAAGTAAAGCTCGTGCATAAACATATAAACTATGTATACATGCGTACGCAATAGTTGAATATATGTGTGTATGTACAGAAGTGCCAGTGGATAGCAGGACAGTTTGGAATTGCCGACACGTTGAGACCCATCCACATGATTCCGTATGCCTCTCACATCATTGGTTCTACCTCAGCCTTTGTCTTTACTTGGCAGTTACTTCTAGCTGTTTGATCTGGTTTGCACCTGCATGGTCTGCTGACACTTTCAACTGCGGATAATTACCTGTTTGCTGCGATAAAGAATGCGTTTCTGCTGTGGCGTGAGCCCCTGAAGCTCCTGACACCCCGCTTGCCTCTGGCTGCTGTGAATCCACCGCACCTTTGAGGGGCCTCCGAAACAATGACACGCAAAACAAGCAGCCCGTGTTAGCACATGGGCTGCTGCTGGGAAACCCCTCCGGGGCCTCAGGTACTGTAGCGCCCGTGGAACCGCCAGTAGCATCTTTGTCCGGGATTTCCGGGAATAATTAGTGGCTGGAGGTATTGTGGGGGCAGTGGGTAGAGTCTAGCCTTTTCTTCAAGCTGAACGGAACTGGCAGCAACAACGATAGAGAATCCCCCTTCCGACGCGGTGCATGCTGCTGTGCCGTCCTTCTCCTACAGCTGGGGATCTGAGGCCATGATCGACAAATCTAAATTATCACAGCAAGCCAAGCAGAGGACCCGGCGTTTGCCAGCTGCCAGAGCTACGGCTGGCTTCAATAAGTTTGGCCGAGGGGTCGGCTGGTTGAATTGGTATTGCGTGAACGGCTTGTACCGATACGCAGACAAGAAACTAATTCAATGTGTACTCCTTTAGAAAGTACGGGCGTGTAAACAGTAAGTAAGGATAAAATTTGGATCAGAAGTCCGGCCAGTTGAGGACGGTCACCTCACGGGGCTTCTTGATCAGGCCTGGCGTGCCTAGTGGCGATGGAGCTTTTTATGATAGTAACATGTTCACACTACAATTTGTACAATGATTCAGTTTGAGTGGTTCTATCAGCGACACGAAACACGCGGGCGCGCAGGCGGAGCAGCACTGGTGGCTGTTTGTTGCTTATTCCGCCGTCGGCTGTGGGGCCGTGCTGACCTGAGGTTTCGGAAATCAAATGCCAACAATTTGTCGAGACTTTGCATTCCGTTCCATATTTGTTTGATGCGTTTTGTTTGGGACTTTACTGGCAAGTAAAAGCAGCTCATATACGGTTGGTCAACTCCCCGCACACGTGGTGGTCTTCGTGTCGGCCCGCCATCTGGAGGGAGACTCACGTGGCCTTCTGTCCGCCATTTTTCTTTCAAGTTAACCTTCATCGTTGATTCGAAGTCCATTGGTAAGACAAAGTTGTCGAAATGGGGGCCATCCAACCCGCTAATCCGTATATTTTGCTACGCGCCGCGGGCGCCATAGCTCGGACAAACGGCTGTGGCTCTGGCGCAGCTGCAGATCTTGCCAGTGAATTCCCCGTCGTTAAAATGCCTAGGATAATATATGGGACTGCTTGGAAGAAAGAGAGAACCGCGGAGCTGTGTCATACGGCGCTTCGCGAGGGTTTCAGGGGCTTCGATACAGCTTGCCAACCAAAACACTACAACCAGCGAGGTTTAGGAGAAGCTCTATCAGAGGCGTTTTCACAAATGAATATCAAAAGAGACGAACTGTACATACAGACCAAGTTTACACCAGTTGGAGGGCAAGACCCGAACAACATTCCATATGACCCCCAGCTGCCGATTCCAGAACAAGTCGAGAAGAGCATACAGGTAAACAGCTCTTGGGTCCTTGCTTAGCATGAGACACCTGTATATTTTCTTCCTCATTTTAAATTGACTTCAACTGTTCGTAACCCTGTAGATCCCTGGACAGGGGCGATGCCTACACGTCGGCCCGCCTACTACTTTCGCTGCATATTTTAGGTCTCACTAAAGGAGCTAGGCTTGGACTACATTGACGCGGTGCTACTGCACTCTCCCCTAGACACCATGGAGGAGACTTTGGAGGCCTGGAGAGGCCTCGAGGCAGCCGTGGACTCTGGCTACGTGCGAGTCTTGGGGATCAGTAACTGCTACTCGCTGAGCGACTTACAACAGCTGCACAGCGCAGCCAAAGTTAAACCTGCAATTGTACAGAACAGGTTCTACGCAGCCACAGGCTACGACGCAGAGCTCAGGGCCTGGTGCCGCGGCAACCAGGTGGTATACCAGGGCTTCTGGACCCTTACAGCCAATCCCCACATCCTGCGGAACCCTGTCATCACCAGGACAGCCAGCAGGCTCAGATGCACGCCAGAACAGGTCAGTGAGAAACTCGTGTCGAAGCCGGCACTAAATAGAGCTTGGCGGGGCTGGTAGGATTGAAAAAAAACCAGAGAACTGGGGGGCGTGCTTGATCGCCGGCAGCGGGCGAACGGCGCAACAGAGCGACACCCCAATATGACAACTACAATAAGTAGCTGCAGTTTGGTGCGCACAGACCGAGTTTGGTAGCAACCGCCGTAGTTGCTGTTGCGTGTACGGTAGACAACGTGGTGCCGCAGTTCTATGGTGGTGCTCCAGCTGCAGCAAGTACGAGTAGCCATGCTGCGCGGTATGTACACCCAGAGAATTGTTGTAGTGGATGGCGTGGCGTCCGTCCCCGCAGTGGGAATGTGGTGTGCACATGCACGTGGCTTCTCATATCAGGATGGTAGGGGTCAGCAGCTGCTGGCCCTTATCTGCTTCATTATTTGGGCACCTCAGAGGAAGAACACAGTGTTGGGAATGGAGTAATCGAGATGGCGGCTTGAGATGTTTGCTGTGGTGTGCAGCTGTGGTTCCGCTATTTAATACACCGTGACATTGTGCCTCTTGCTGGCCCGAAAGATGTGCACCATATGGAGGACGACACGGAGTGTGTCAAGATGCCTCTGCTTCAGTCCGTGTGCGACCAGCTGGATGCAGTGTTGCCACGCAGCGAATAGCCCAAAGACGCAGCTTCGAGTGAGCTTATGCTTCACTGTTCGTCACCTCGTTCGAACACGCCAACCAGACTGCTAAGCGTTGACCCTCCCACCTGAGCAGCCCAGCATACAGTGTTTCCTGGCAGAAGAATTGCGACTTTCACGTCTTTCCACACCGTGCGCCAGGTGCAACAACGCATTCGCATATGCATGATGTGAGCGCAAACCTGGGGAGGCGCCGGGCGCAAGAGGACACCCAGGAAGTAGTGATTCTGAATTAGCCACCACTCCTCCAGCTCATCAAATATTTCTAGAGCCTGGAGAAATAAGGACAGAAGTTCGTGCAGCCGCTGCGAGTTGAAAAGGTGACTTGTCAGCCTCAGACTCTTTTAAGCTTTATGTGAAGGCATACGCACAGCATCTCCTTGTCTGCACAATTTTGCGTAACTGAGTGAAAACGTATATGCGCATAAGTGAGTTGTGAAAGTGTTTGTATCAACTTGTGTAAAGCATGCGCATCGAACGTTTACCTGCACGCGGTTTCTTTCGGACTCGGGGAGAAATTTATCGTAAACTCTCCGCATGTCCGCAAGGCTGCACTCGGGCCAGCCTTGTTCAGCAAACCTAAAAAGTGGGAAGCAAGCAACAGATGAATCACTTCATTTACATATTTAGTTGTACGCGTAGGCGCATCGATTTTGGGTGTAGCACAGTTCGTTTAACGGATTGCTTACACAACTCGCATATTTCATTTTACGGTGCAGATGACGAACATATTTAGGACGTCAATTACGCGCGAATGTGCAAGGAACTAGTGTGCAGCCATGTGCATACATGTTCGGATCCCCCACTCCCCTATACAACATCGGAATAGACTCCTCTCCCTCGCTTACTGTGTTCTCGAACACCTCGAGCTATGTAAAACTGTGGATGAACGAGTACTGCTACAGCACTGAGGTACACTGTCTCTTACGTTCGAGCGCGGTCAGAACGAAACAGCAGTTCAGCTACCCTGCCGACTTGCCAACTACTCTCTCTCCCCCGGAAAGCATGGGCACTATCGCCGGTCATAACAGGGATACGTAAATGGGTTGTTTTCCTCATAAAGTGAGGAAGAGAAAACTGACTGCTGTGCCATTTACCGTTCCCGCTGTGAGTTCAGCGTAGGGTACTTCCTTATAGTCAGCAGCGGGCAGTTGCGCATCTGTAAGCACCGAACCAGATCCCTTGTCTGGTCTTAAAATCACAAATAAATTATGTAGACCTAGTTATAAGGCAGTATAGTTGGGGTAAATAATCAATAGGCTAGGGCAGAACACTTAGGGGGACTCGGGACACTTGAAGTGTCTCCTCACTTGCAGGTTGCGGACCATCATGCGGCCGAAAGGGTCGTCTGGATTAAACTGCTCGTATATGATGAGGGCGCTAGGGGCTAGCGGCACGGCTGCAGATGCCCAGCGCAGCACCTGAACGTAAAATTAGCAAGATGACAGAATTCGAAGCCATATGCTGTCGACGGCACCGTAGTCACGGAGGACAATCCAACACAGGAAGAATCTAGCAAACAGTAGCTACTCGGGAACCTGGCTACGAGGACCCACCGTTATTACTGTTTTTACTAGCACTGTAGTAGTTTTCTTCGTAAGTATCTAGCAATGAGTCGCTCACTGTTTACCCGTATAAGAAATACAACTGCATGTTGGGCGAGCTCACCGCATCTGCATCTTCAATACGAAGGTAAATAAGCACGCATTCGCATAGAAAGAGGGTTGGCAGACTGCAGACAATAGCGGCGCAGACACAAGGGATAGGACGCAACAAGCTCGGCCATGATGTCCGTGCACTTCTGTTGACAGCAATCAAGAAAAGAAACTGCACTTGTGGTCGGCTAAACAGATACCCACTCTTCCCTTAAGCCTGCATTCTTCATTGCCGCTTTCAGAGCGTTCACATCTCGCATGTCCACCGCGACCTGCGAAGGCAACAGCAACAGAACGGCCACACGCATATCGCATCTGCTGTTATGTCTACTCTTCCAAAAGCTGCAGCCCAGTATACGCGGCCAAAATATTGGAAGTAGGAGGTAGAACAATGGCTAAACAGTGGTAAGAAAACGCACCAAGCGATAGCTTTTCGTGCGCAGTACACAAGAGTCGACAATTGCTGCTGAAATAGCACAACAGAGCATGGAGCTTAGAAAAGACTTCAGCAGAATGTGGTGGGGCCATCTACTTATGCCCTGCCGCCCAACCGTAACAGCGCCCCCTAAGCCTCAACAACTCAAAAAAAAATCTTGAAGCCTCAACGTTACAGGAATTCTGACACACTTGACTGACAGGGCGCGCCAACGCACTCGCGCAACTCCGGAACCCTAAGGTCAAACACAAGCACTGAAAACTGGTGCTTTGAACGCAAGCAAACGTACATATATTATGGCTACAGATGTAATTGTATATATACCCGCAAAGGTAAATATTGTTAGGTGTAACCTATATGTAGTCGGGGGAACACAACAAAAACTAAATCGGGAAAAGGGATAAGAATAGGGGAACAAACCGCCGGATAACCGCCGCTTTTTCCTGACAAACATCTGGAAAGTCAATGTCAAACGCAACTGTGCTGCCTTGGCGCTGCAATCAGCATTTGCAAAGCGCAATTGCACAACATATAAACAGGTTGCACTCACCGGAACTTGTGTGCGAGCATGTGCACCCATGCAAGGGCGCAGGGACAAACATACACAAACATACAATGCACATACTGGAATCCTCGAACACCCAGAAACAAAAGAGGCACCAAACAAGTATTCAGAGGCTATGTAGACGACACATGACAGATAAATGCACAAGTCGATCACTCTTGGTGTGCATCTGCCTATGCATGGGAAAGTGCATGCGTGCACGACAGTTATTTGCATCCATGACGCCAATGATATGAATGCAAGGTGAGGCTGCAGCAATCCACCTACATAAAACACTGGATAAAGAAGCAAACTATTGGACAAGGAAGTACCTACCGCCAGAAAGAAAGCAGTAGTATCTGCCCCAGCTCCTATGTTGACAACTTGGGCAATAGGGTTGCCTCCCTTTCCATTCATGCTATCCCTTTCCTGACCCACGCACTCTGCATTCTCCTGCGGTTGAAAGGTACACCTCGCGCCCACTGGGGGAACCACAGCAGTAGTTGCCGACTGGCCTGAGGCATCCCGATTACTGCAAGAGATTTCGGCTTCGGCCTCCCTGGCTGGCTGCCGTGACTGCCGTTTGGTGGCTAAGCTTTGAGCGTCTTCTAAAAACGATTTAATGAGACGGCGAATGGCCTCGACTCGTGAATAATAGCCTTTGAACAAGAAAGACATGATGAGCACATAGACAGAAACTTGAAAAGAGAGGAGTAAACAGATATACAGTTATGCAGGATGAGACAGCAAACCGCAGAAATATATTTGCGGAAAGGGATTGCATTGTCTCCCAATATAAGTACGTCTGCGGGTCTGTCTGTCTGGATCTCTATGTATCCTTATCCTTTCATTTCTTTGTTAATGTTTGACTGTTTGCCAACTTTCCTATCCGTCTACGACTAATCTGTTTTTCCCTGTCCAATTTATCCATTTGCTACTTCATAATTTTTCTCCCCATCTACATCTAGAGCTCTCGATCTAACTCCCCCTTTACGCCACGATTTCCAAATCCTAGAGAGCAACGCTTGCCTATGCTAATTCTGCATGGCTCCTAAACGCCTAAAAACCTACAAATGAGTTCGCCAGTAGTCCAATCTCTAAGTTGCGCACATGAATGTGGTAGGACCCCCCTACCTGCACCTCGGAGGGAATAGTAACAGCCAGTTGATACTCCCCCTACCCACTTGTGCATATGTTGTACTCTTTCTCACCTCTGTTTATGAGTGGCTGCATGCGTATTGGCTGCGTGACGAAATGGCTCAAAAATTCATCGGGGAAATAGCCTAGGAGGGCAGCAGACAGTTTGCTAGTTGCGGCATCACCACTGGTCTGCTTAACGCCAGCGCAGTCGCCACCCCAGCCGCTAGCGCCCCACCCCTCCACAGTTTCTCTGTCCTCCCCTAGTGGTCCAAGAGGCCGCGGGGAGTGGCAGAAAGAGCCTGATTTGGCTGGCGCCCTGTCGCCAATGTTTGCTGTAGCAGCGGCTGCTGTTGGTGACCTACAGACTCCTGGAGAGCCAAATCCACGCGAGTGGGTACCCAGCCATGATGAGTTCATCGCCTCTAAGGAAGCGCTGCCACATCTGCCGACCCCAAATGCTGAGGGCTCCTCAAATGCATGCATGTCAGGGAATATCGGGGGTTCAGTGCTCCCTGCATGCACCGCATCAGCGGCCCTCTGCACGGCACAGCCAAGAGGGAAGCCTGGTCTCCGCGGAAACGTATCGGTGGGAATTGGGGTAGGTTGGCGCGGCCGTGGAGTCCCCCACAAAGAAGCCAACGATGAACCCTGTTGATGCTGCAATGCGTCCACTTGCGAAGAGGTGGCTGCAGCAGCTGACACTGCATTAACGTCACGCAGAGGAGCTGTAGAGAGGTTCCCAAAAACAGCAGCAGAGCCTAGCGGCGGCTGAGCCGCTTTTGGAGAGGTGGGACAGCAGTGTGGCCATCCCTCCTGCCCTGGCCTCATAACGGAAAATACACACTGATAGAAATTCAAGACGAGAGGGAAATAGAATATATGATCAGTATAAAAGAAAAGCAGTGGTCTGCAGCTGTCGCACAAGATCTTCAGGAGGAATAGATCTGAATGTGCTTGCAGCTCACTTTTCAACGAATGGTAAGAAAGGTCATATTTTCAGCGATACTCTCCCCCTACAAAACACTGGCCTCCTAGGATAGCTAAAACCGTAAAGCTCGACTAATGTAACAGCTCAGAAGGCTAGATGTTGAGCAAATACGGACGGAGACACGATGGTAGGCAGAGCTGCATGCATGAAGGTCGGGGCCTACGTCAGAGCGGTGTCCTTGTTAGGGCTATAAAAAAAGTAGCTGCTTTATGTTGCACAGAGTAGGACATTTTGTAATTAGAGCTGTCTGAGAGGCAAAGACAAGCACATGATCTGCGCTTCGTGCTCCGCAGGAAGGCGTACCATCCGCTGTCTGGCAGGAGTGAATTCGTACCTGAATTCAGAAATAACTCTTTCTTCTATAGACTGCATCATGGATTTTGTAGGAGTCCAATTTCTATTCACAGAAGCGAGAACGAAGTCGGGCAATTCTGTTTTGTTCGCGCGCCTTTCGGGTGTGCACTGCGCAGGTCTTTTTCATCTCCACCCATACTTGTATACACTTCTACGAAGTGTCTACAGAAACTTATCTCAACCTTATACAACTCATTATGAGTCTTCGATCTGCTTGTGCAGGCGAGACTGTCGCCACAGAGGCACGGCGGCACGCGTGGAGCCTTTAAAGAAAGAGACCTTCTGTGACTTCGGGCGTTCCATCAAAGGGAAATACCCTAAGCCGCTATTTTCTGGGCGATACTAGTGTGGCGATGGAAAGTGGATGCTTCCTTCTTCACTATGTAATTGCAGTTCTTCACGGGATGCCACCTCAGCATTTGGTGTTGCTACAAATTAAACCTTAAAATTATTTCAGCGCAAAGTTAATACATAAGGATGCCCTGCAGGCGGTATGACTGCAGGGCACCTATATAAAATACAAAATTCTGCTGCTGAGGATAAGAGGGCCCACGCAGAAGAGTGTGAGCACCTCGAGTTACGATGTACAAATACTAACTACAGCAGCACAAGTGCAGCGGTCATACGATTTGGTTGCGCTGCCACGAAAACAGCTGCGGCGATACCCGAGAAGCGCCTCCGCTGCGGCCTAAATACATACCTCGGGCTCTGATGAGACAGACACCCAAAACATTTCACAAATTCACTTTAGGGACTGCTGCTGCCTCTATCTGCCCAGGAAGCCACTTGTTTAGTCAGCGCGTGTGACGGATAGGGCACCCAGTTAAAGCCCGGAAAACTAACAATAATAAAACACCTGAACAGCTTCTCGATTCGAAGAGTGGTGAGCTTATGTGCAGCTGCTGTGCGCTAAGTTTCATTTCGCGTGTACACAGTGCAGTACTTCATAGTGCAGTCAGCTGACCTAGATCATACAGCAAGAGTTGCACGTGTGATGAGCACCAAGCCCAAGCAGGAGGCATTAAGCACTCGTTGGGGCCACTGCCACTGTGCATATACACCTAAAATAGTAGAATTACCTCGCACAATATTAATTGCACAAGCAAATACTCGGACACCAAAAAAACTACCCTTCGAGCCTCGGCAGAAGTGCTTCAGGAGATGCCAGCCAGAGAAGCTGCTTGCATGCGCACGAGATCCGTTCCTCCCAACTGGGTAGCTAGCCTGTTAGTTTTGTACCCGGTGTTTCGCGTCTTTGACGGGTTTAGTTCGGGTCCACTTTGGCACCGCGAAGGGCAGGGCGTAGGGAGGCCAGGGACGGCGAAGCGTGCATCATCTGCAGAGTAAATGAAAGTATAAACAGCAAATATGCGTGCATTCAGAACTGCGCACACATGCAGGATGCTTGTTTGTATAGAGTGAATGCTCGCATACACAATCGTAAGCAACCTATCTGTGGGTGGCTGCTACACATTTGAGACTCCCCGGGCGTTGCATCTTTTAGTCGTGTATCTACATGTATAGACGCATACTACACGGCAAAACCATAGTCAATACAAGATCTGTCAAATCAGAGGCGTATGCGACGGATAGTAAACTTATTTGCAACAAATGTACGTTGTGTGCCTGCATCGCGCCATAAAGAGGGAGATGATGTACGTGCGCGAGTAAAATATTTTCACTTTAGCCCATTGTGCTGACCTCAAGAACGTCGGAGTCTGTGCGAGCCAACGTGAAGACCGCCAAAATAAGCTCGGGGGCCTCCAGCTCCACGTGATGCGCAATCACTTGGTCGGCATGCTGCACCAGCAGAAGCATCATCATCTGCTGCTGCTGCTGCTGCAGAGACGCGCTCAGCCCCACCTCTTCCAACAGCAGCTCAACTTCGTCAGAAGTCAGCTGGCTACTGAAAGAGAGCCACCGTTGTCGGAGACTGGAAATATAAGGACAAGACATAAGAACCCCACATATCCAAAAGCATAAACAGCTGCAGTTGCACGTACAGTACATGCCACTATCAGTTTTTTAAGAGTAGACAAACTCTGTCGTGCACTCATGTCCTGACTTACAGGTCGATAATACGCATAAGGTTCAGTGCCGGAGGGCCGGCGACGGTTGTTTCTACTTCAGAAATATATTTCCGCGCCTTCTCCAGCAGCCATGACTGTCCAGTACAGCTAACGCCTTGCAGATGCCCAGACAGCTGAGTTCCCCATGCACCTTCTGTGTTTCCGTGTTGTTGCTGTTGTTGCGGCACGTGAGCTAGCGCTAGCGCCACCTGCAGGAAGCAGAGGCGCTCTGTGCTGGACCAGAAGAAAGGGTGGGCAGCGCATTGTTGGCTGTGTGGCGCATCGGCGGAGTTGCATTGCCAAAGGGTCCTAAGGAGGTCGTCAACGAGAGGGGAGTTGCCAAGCCGATGGTTAGCTGTGGTGCCTGTAGTCAGCAGCAGAGACACCAGCTCCCCTAAAACAGCCCCTAAGAGGCTTTCTCTGGGTTTGCTGCCACCGCCAACGCTGTTGCTGCTGTCTGTCGGCTGCAATGCAGCCCGCAGGATCCGTGGTGAGGCCAAGTCAATGCAGACGGATATCTCGCCCTCTCTTCCCACCGACACAATGACCTCTTCGGGCAACACCGAAAAGAAAAAATTACATCGCGGCTCCATATATCCGTGAGCAACAGAGTGCAGATGCTGCAAAAGTCCGTATGCCTCAACTACCGCGTCGCAGACCTTCCGAACCAGTCGACGCAAGCTCTCAGACGGAAGCGAGGACTGCAGTTGATCTTGCTGCTCCTCGGAGTTATTGATGGACCGCGAAAGAGGCCAAAGCATGCAGCATGGGCACGGCCAACAACCCCCAGCACGCAGGGCTTCTCGGCAGGTGCCGTGGTGCTGATGAGCGCAAAGCGTTGTAGCCGCCGTGCCTGCTGTTGCTGCTGTTAGCTGACATAGATCTTCTACTTCTTCCCCGCATACACAGCATATTGTTGCCTTCTCATGTTGCTGATCGCATCCCTCCGTTATTGCTTCACTAAGTGCGGAGTTTAGCCCATGTACGTTTCCCTGGACGAGTTCCTGCAGACTGCTGACCCACAGAGCCTCTGCTGCCTGTGCTTGCGCAGGGGGCTCCAGATATACAGCACCTGCTGCATCTGTTGCCCCCGCAGGTGCATCAGCCAGTTCAAGTTGAAGTGTATTGACGCATCGCAGGATTCCTCTGATGCTTCTTGAAGGCGCCTGCGCCTCCGCCAGGAGCCGGAAGCCATAGAGTATATCCTTGTCTTGGGCGCTTACAAAGCGTCGGAACACTGCTGACTGTTCTTGAGGCGATCCTAAACGCCAGCTTCCCGAGTTCGACCACAACGGCATCTGTAGCTGCGGCTGCTGGTGATAGTCTGCAGTGGCTAATCCAGTGGTATAGCGGAACACACCGGAGGCACCCAACAGTTGCTTCCATCTCATTATAGCCCCAGTTTCGGCTTGTATAGAGGCAAGTTTCAGTGTGTGTTCTTCCTGTTGTAGCTGTTGTTGTTGGTGTTGCAGCTGATGGCTATCCCGCAGCGACGCAGTGTCTTCACAGACGACGAGCTTGGTTGGCGGTAGCGAAAGGAAACCTGGGGGCCCACTGCACTTGTTTGCAAGCGTCTCTAATACTGCAGTTGTCGTGGTGGAGGTTGCTGTGTCATGCGCATCTAGTAAAACACATACGGAGGAAACGGTGGAGTCTCCCAGCTCAGCCCGAGCCGCCACTGCTTCTCGCAGTTCACGCAGCAGTAGCGGCATGCTGACTGATCTCTCGCCGTCAAATGCTGGCTCCAGCGAATCGCCCCAGTGTAGATCCTCGTGCATGCACTGGAGGCTATAAGCTGAGCATGTGGGGGAAACGACCGCACGAAATTCATCTGCTGAGAGAAGCCGCCTCTCTCCTCCGGTTTTCCCCGCACCAAAGGCAGGCCCTACAGGAAGTGGCGCAGCTAGGCGTCCCGAACTTGCTCTCTCATCCTGGTGTTGCTGCTGCTGCTCTCTTCCAGTTTCTGGGCTTCCGTCCTTCAACAGTGCCGACCAGTGTTGAAGACGCGACAGTGGGAGTGAGATCACGTGACGCAGCACTTGACCCATAAGGGCACTTGGGGGCGGTCCGACACAGAGATGCAGGAGAAACAGCCGCGCCTTAGCAGCCACAACCTGTTCACTGGCGCAGTAGTTGGCGAGTTGGACGCAAGCTGCACTCAACTCCTCTTCGTTGGAGTGTATGTACAGCAGAAACACACAAGACCCGCATGCTGCTGCTTGCTCCAGGAGCTCCGTTATCTCTTCGGTCCCGTTAGGCTGCTGTTGGAAGCTCAATGCGGCACCCGCCGCCCTCCAAAAGGCAAAGCCCCCATCACCATTGGCGCCCCAAGACACAAGAGAGTAGCCAGAGAGTCCAGTGCTATTCTGCAGCTGCGCCTTCAGGCTGTCAGATCCTGTTGACCCGTGCAGCAGGAG